TTAAAATTATGACGTCATTTCTACTACTTGTACATATGAATACTGGTTTGCCATAAACTATTGCAAATGCGCACTGGTCAGTATTTGCATTGTGGTAACAGCATAAAAATATCCTTTATTTAGCGATACAGGCATTTATTTTATGAGTGTATTGTACAGAAGCGCTGCGGATGAGCACCCTGAGTTTGATAGATAACGAGAAGCAAGCCTGTACACTATGGCTACCTTATATCAGTAACGCCATATATCAGTAACGCTTGCTTAGATGATATTAAAATTTTGCATACGAGCAGCCAGTCATACGAGCAGCCAGCCAACCATATAAACGAGTACAAATGCACTTGTTTGGTCATAAGAGTGTGGGCTGACCACTATTTCATATTTCACATATTTCACACGAAAACTGTTATTTTCTTTATGTGCCAAGGGAACTTAAAATATTATTTGATAAATAAATGAGTTTTCATTGACTCTCAATATATATTGCACGTGTAATATGAAGTCGATCGCAAATACATTATTAAACTGCTGTCATTAAAACACTTAAACTTAACTGTATTTTACTAACATTAAGATAATAATTCTATTTCCAATTTCTAAAATCATTTTAACCAATAGTTTATATGTATACTCATTTTGTGATTATATGTTATATTAAGTTCATTGCATCTAAAAATGTTTGACCTTGCGTGTGATCAGAGCACGCTACCTGCACCTACCATTACATTGAATCAATTTTATATGTATATATAGGTCCATTCAACGTTTTTTTTTTTTTTTTAATTATTAAAAGTAAGCGAGCAAAAGAATTAACTAACATCACTAAAAATAATAATTACTACAGGTAGAGTTATCTGTTCTCACAAATACAAACGGACTAAATTTTAAACCTTCGTTATTGTCGCTGGCAGCACCATCTCACCACCAATCGATCTAGTTTATATTTACTAGAGTAGGAAATCTGCAGCATGTCGAGAAGCGAGTACGATGCCTAATGTCTCAGAAAATGTCTTGAATGTTTATTTTAGATTTACTAAACAAATACATGTAGCTTGCGGCTACTTTCATAGTGCCGCAGACTTTAAAAATTGAAAAGCTTTCGTCACGTCTTTTGGCGCAGGTCGTTATTTTTTGTTGTTTGATGTTTTTTCTTATATTTTAACCATCGAAAAAAATCCTCGATTCATTTTCCTCCAATATAAGCAAGACATTATGGTAACAGGGCACAGTCAAACGTTTTACGCGAAACACGGCAAAACTGCATTTCCAGTTTTTAATTGCCTAAATCGTTCTTCAAAAAATTATTTTAAAAATAACAAACAGTCCACCCAAGCTACAGGAAGGCGATATACCCAAGGGCCTTAAATCCCCTCCATACTCTCCCCACCCCCCACCCCCCAGCCGAACTTGTACTCCCTTGGTCAAAAAGATTGACCCACCTCCAATAACATGTCTTTTAATTGACAAATGGTCACTTCACAGGTGTCAATTATTGTGCTTTTCATTCTAGTTACCCTATCTAATATTATCAACGATACAGAAAATACAAAATGGCAGTGAAGATATCCATATTTTATACCACTTATTCACAGGTAAAAAAATGTCCATGAAATTGAAAACACGCCACCAAATTTACTCACAGTTAGCATAAGATGTGCCCGTTAAAGATCACATGCCTTATATCGCGAGTGTCCACCGCGTACTACAATTATCTCACTCAGCAGACGAGAACTGTGAGCAAGTGCGTTGTCGTGATGAGGCCTTTATTATCCCTGAAGTCACCTCTTGCAAATGGTGTGAGCTGTCATTTAGTCTTTTCAGAAACACTCCGCCATCTTAACCGAGTTAAAAAAAACATTGAACAAGTATAGATCTTTTCTTCAATTATCTTAAAAATTTTTCCAATAAATTAAACATATATTTTGTGATTGAAACCCGACAGCCCATTCTATTTGTTACATTTAAAACTACCGTCACTATCTTACCCGTACATACATTTTTTTTTATATTTTCACATAAGCTTGCCTAATGATAACTTAAATTTAAAATACATCAGATAAAGCAATAGATATATAACATAGAAACCGTTTCTTCAAACTAAGATTTCTTTAAAACAAATAATCTAAAGTTGATCGCCCGCCACTATCTAACCCGTCCATACCAAGAGTCAATTCAAACATTGGTGTTCCATCTTCGATAATTTCAGCCATATTGATGTGTCGTCTGCCACTTTCCTTAGCGGGAACTCTCAATATTGCTATATTATATGGGTACACATTCAATGACGGGGTCAGGTCTTTTGCTATACCTGGTATCACTTCTTGACCAGCAACTGTTTCCAAAACTGGGGGCCAGCTGACTTTTTTCCCAAAACGCGATCGCCAAATACGAATACTGAACAGAAGCGAGTCCGTAGTTGGTTTTAATGTTTCTGAATATTCCTTTACGTTCACTAAATTGTTGACCAATATTTTGGTCTTGTTAGACTTTCCCATGTAGAACAACGTGGTCACAGCGATGGCATTGAAGTCGCCATCTTGGTTGGAGAGCCAGCAAAGGAACTGTCCTAACTGGTCTGGGTGACCTAAACCGCCCCCAGGAACGTGGAACCATTCATTGCTATACATCAGAACGTTCCATTCTGTCACACGGCTGTCCAGATTTCTAGCAATTGATGAGTCCACCATGTCTGGTATCTGTTTTACATTATCATAACGCTGAACTACAACACCCTCTTTGTTTAGTTTTTCTAGATTTTGAGAGTTGTCCTTTTCATTTAAAAATAGAATAATCTTAAACCCTTGATGCTGTAAATCGTGGATTACTTCAAGCAGCAGGGTATTCTGTGTGTTGATAAGATGTACCAGGAACACGTTCACGGCAATTTTGCGCCTCTTTTCTAGATTACTTTCTTCTGTCTCCACGGATAAGTTATTTTCTGCACCAAGAACAAGTAGTATTGTTGCTGGATTTGCACATTTTTTATTATGAGCACAAACCCAGCCACTGCGCAGAGGAAACACACCGTGATTGGTACAGAACTCGATCAATTCACTTTTCCGCCATTCGCGAATATGGCAAGGGTTTAACGGTGGTCCATTAAGTCGCCGACTTTTTTTTTCATCAGTCTCAGACCGAGCTATATTTTCCCTATCTGGAGTACTTAGAATCACAGCCTTGCTTATGTTTGCTGTGTGAGCCAAAATGTCCATGAAACACTCATCTGGTTTCAAAATATGTTCAATAACATCACTACTCAATACTATCGATTCCTTTAAGACAGATTCTGGTACCGGAAAGTCATGTCTGCAATTGTTTCTTCCCTCAAACTTATTCTCGATCCACGTCAGGGAGGGGAAAGACATGTTAGCAGTGCGAATGTTTTTCGCAAAATCTATACCTATGGTGCTGAAATCTCTGGATAACTTGGCTAATTTGAATCCATTTCCGCAGCCGAGGTCAACGATGTATTTGGCATGTAAACGTCTTCCCACTTCGCCTGCAAACATGTAGACAGACATCTGCCAGGTGCTCTGAGGTGCATCTTTGTAGTATTTCACCTCACTTCGATGGTTGTAGTGTTTTGCAATTGAGTAATCGCCCGTTTCGGTGCTGTGTTTTAGTGATTTACCTGGCACTTTGCGCCTCCAGGTTATGCAGGTGACATCGTTCAACTCATTGCGACTCCTCCTTTGAAAATATATTGATAACTTGATTTAAAATTTCCACTAACAGCATTAATCAAAACTATGTGAATTTTACATCACTGCAAAAAAAAAAAAACATGCATCTATTTGTTTTGAAATTGATACATAATAAAAAAGAAAGAAAGAAAATGTGATAATACACTATACTCTATAATTTTTAAACTAGTGCACATGCAGTTAGAAGAAATAAGAATGTACTTGGGAATCGAATTTAAGAACGGCTTTCTTCTTAGGAATTGTATTTAAAAAAGTCGGTAAACACGTTGAAATTACACCCGTTACAAGATATGAAAATTAGTTCTATTGAATACTACCCACCAATATCGCAGAGAACCCGGAGAGCTGCTTTTTCTGAATCCAATCAAATAAATGATCCCAATAGCCAGTAGACAAACAGTAATGAAAAACGATCTCCTTAATCTGGGCATGGTTCCCTCATTTGGTCAATGATACCTTTATATTCAAAATTATGGTATATAATTTCTACCACATGTGCATGTAAATACTGGTTTCCCATAAATTATTGCATATGCGCACTGGTCCTAGTTGCATTGTGGTAGCAGATATAGAGACATAAAAATACCCTTTATTTAGTGATACAGGTATTCATGAAACATTTTACGAGTGTATTGTCGAGCTGCAGATGAGCACCCCAGGCTAGACAGATAACCAGAAGCAAGCCTGTACGCTATTACTACCGATGCCGTGACAATACGGGGTATGCTATAGTGTTAAGGTTTGTTTCAGGCTATCTCGGAAGCTCAGGGTGCAGGTGAGGGAAAACGTGACTGGTTTGCACCTAAGATCTAATAAACGGATATTAGATCTTAGTTTTCACGTACAGTTCCGTGATGAGTGTTGTTTCTGGCTTAACTCGGGGCCATCACACGCCCTCTGATTGGCTACTACACTACCTTTGCGATATTTTCCTCATATATGCAGTGGCGGATTTAGAGGGGGGTCAGAATTTTGACTAGCTGAATCATAGTTGTAAACCGTACCAAATGGCACCGTTCGACCTCTAAAATCGGGCCCCTAACCCTAAGCCGGGGGGGGGGGTGTCGGCTTTGCATCCGTGGATGCTTTGCTGACACGTGGTGTGTCTATAACATAACACTTCACACTTTTATGTTATTGACGGATTACTTTATTTGAATAATAAGACAACTGTTACCACAGTATTAAAGATAAAATTCCACACAATTCTACGATCCATGTTGCAATCATATGAATAGCATTTTGGCAAAAAAAAAAAAAAACNCCCCCCCCCCCCTCCCAGATGGTATTGCAGATCTTGACAAATCTCAGGAACCATCAGAATTGAATTAAAAATACTGAATTCCACGTTTCCGCAGAATAAGCTCATCTCTGCATCTGTAAGAACAGAACTTTCTGTCAAAATAATGCATTGGATAAAATGCAATGTGGAAACAGTGAGTACAGTGATACATGATGTTATGCTATTAATATTCTTCTGATATCTCACCTGAGCCAGACTTGGGGGTAGAGGAGACAGAACTACAGAGGCCTACTGAGCGACAGCTCTGGCTTTTTAACTGAAAAAGAATGACAACTTTGTGACATGTGTATACAAATTTAAAATAAATAAATAAATAAATAAAGGCAAAACCATGAAATATTTCTTGTTAAATCAGTCTCATACAATTCAACCAATCCACTTAACAATTTGACACATTTCTACACTTCAACCAATGACACATCTTATTGAGATCTCACCACCCCTGCAACTATACACAGTTATAAGCATGCAGAGATTTTGAAAGAAGCATTTTCGTGTGGTATATTACCCAGAAAATTACCTTTGATTCAGAACTCACACTGGACTGTGAGTTTGCAGCAAGACTGGCACTGATATCATCCTCATCCTGAATCAAGCCTAAAACTTCAGTTACTGTAGGATCTTTTGCTTCCTGTGATAGGTCCCTTTCCCCAAAACCTGACTTCTCTGACCAATCTGAGGCAGTATTACTTGTCTGACTGGACAGCAATTGTGACTGTGATAAACCAGGTTGACCTTGACTGTCTGTGATAGTGTCCAAGCTATAAAATAGACTAAGAGGTCCGATCTTTTCAGAAGTTTGAGATAATGAATCGATCTCGCTGGAGTCACTTTTTTCACCTAAAATGATCTCCTCACTATTGACCACCTGTGCATCATTTATAGATTTTTCAGACATTTTGACAGCTTTGAACTGACTCAGAGATGCTTGACTTGAGGATAATGGGACATGCTTGACATCATTTTCCTTTGGTCTTGAACTAAAACTACTGCTGAATTTATTCCACATGAAACTAGATTTCCTCACTTTAGCTTCCTGAGAATCTGCATTGCTTTCCATTTCCACTATGGTGTTTGTTTGTAGAGTTGTTTTAATCTCCTGATTTATATTTAGTTTTTCCTGGACACTGTTTTTACAGTCTTTAACATAAGACGCAGTGTTAATGATATCTGCTTTTGGATTTGAATTTGTAGATGTAGTGGTATCCTTATCAATGCCTTGCTGCAACTCAAAATGATCAAAGACAGATTCCCTTTTATTCTTCAGCTTTGGGGCGGTTGATTTGGTAAAAAACCTGTAAATTACAAAATTAAGTCAAATGTTTTTTTTCCTCAGTGAGATAATAACACACAAATTCATACATCCTGGCACAAATCTATATAATTCTTGGCTGTAAGTGTTTTCTATACAAATATATATTAAAATCATTCCATCAAAACATTTCCAGCTTTGATGTTTCATCATTAATGGACATGTGTAGAGATTATTTTACATGCCTCTTTGTGATTAAAATAATTCATGAAAGGCAATAAAGTAAATTTGTGATTGACTACAAATAAAGCTGAAATTCAATTTCATACCTGCTGTGGGTTTCTACTACTGGCTTTGCTGCATTGATATTAAACTTTTCTTTCTTCGGCAGCACTGTGCCAAAAACATTCTTCCTCCTTGGAGAAATGGCATCTACCTCTTCAGCTCCAACGATTTTACTGCTTTCTTTATTATTACTAACATCAGCTAATTCTTGAACATTACTGTCATAAAGGTTTTCTTTTGTTGATATTTCCTCTTTTTGAGTTTCTGGTAAACACAAAAGATCGTCTGATCTTCTTTTCTTTTCCTGAGATTTTTTGTAACCATACTCCTCTGCTAGTGTTATGTCATTCTTTTCCAAATCTTCCTCTTCTTAAACAAAATAAAAGAATGAAATTTTTAGATATTTTCAATAATATTACAATGAATGATCATGTAAGATGCTGTACACTTGGCATGACAAAAATAATATTTTTTAAATTTAAATTTGTTTAAAGAATTGATACTTCTTATTAATGCAACACTTAAAGGACAATGTTCATGTAAAAATCCATTTCTCGAATTTTGAAGATACAGCACTCAATCTATACACAAGAGGTATGTTTAAATCGATCCCCGCCATTTANCCCCCCCCCCCTCCCAGATGGTATTGCAGATCTTGACAAATCTCAGGAACCATCAGCATTGAATTAAAAATACTGAATTCCACGTTTCCGCAGAATAAGCTCATCTCTGCATCTGTAAGAACAGAACTTTCTGTCAAAATAATGCATTGGATAAAATGCAATGTGGAAACAGTGAGTACAGTGATACATGATGTTATGCTATTAATATTCTTCTGATATCTCACCTGAGCCAGACTTGGGGGTAGAGGAGACAGAACTACAGAGGCCTACTGAGCGACAGCTCTGGCTTTTTAACTGAAAAAGAATGACAACTTTGTGACATGTGTATACAAATAAAATAAATAAATAAATAAATAAATAAATAAATAAATAAATAAATAAATAAATAAAGGCAAAACCATGAAATATTTCTTGTTAAATCAGTCTCATACAATTCAACCAATCCACTTAACAATTTGACACATTTCTACACTTCAACCAATGACACATCTTATTGAGATCTCACCACCCCTGCAACTATACAGAGTTATAAGCATGCAGAGATTTTGAAAGAAGCATTTTCGTGTGGTATATTACCCGGAAAATTACCTTTGATTCAGAACTCACACAGTTTGCAGCAAGACTGGGACTGATATCATCCTCATCCTGAATCAAGCCTAAAACCTCAGTAGGATCTTTTGCTTCCTGTGATAGGTCCCTTTCCCCAAAAACTGCCTTCTCTGACCAATCTGAGGCAGTATTACTTGTCTGACTGGACAGCAATTGTGACTGTGATAAACCAGGTTGACTTTGACTGTCTGTGATAGTGTCCAAGCTATAACACAAACTAAGGGGTCTGATCTTTTTAGAAGTTTGAGATAATGAATCAGTCTCGCTGGAGACACTTTTTTCATCTAAACTAATCTCCTCACTATTGACCATTTGTGCATCATTTACAGATTTTTCAGACACTTTAACAGCTTTGAACTGACTCAGAGATGCTTGACTTGAGGATAATGGGACATGCTTGACATCACTTTCCTTTGGTCTTGAACTAAAACTACTGCTGAATTTATTCCACATGAAACTAGATTTCCTCACTTTGGCTTCCTGAGAATCTGCATTGCTTTCCATTTCCACTGTGGTGTTTGTTTGTAGAGTTGTTGTAATCTCCTGATTCATATTTAGTTTTTCCTGGACACTGTTTTTATGGTCTTTAACATAAGACACAGTGTTAGTCATATCTGCTTTTGGATCTGAATTTGAAGATGTAGCAGTATCCTTTTCAATGCCTTGCTGCAACTCAAAATGATCAAAGACAGATTCCCTTTTCTTCTTCAGCTTTGGGGCGGTTGATTTGGTAAAAAACCTGTAAATTACAAAATTAAGTCATATGTTTTTTTTTCCTCAGTGAGATAACAACACACAAATTCATACATCCTGGCACAAATCTATATAATTCTTGGCTGTAAATGTTTTCTATACAAATATATATTAAAATCATTCCATCAAAACATTTCCGGCTTTGATGTTTCATCATTAATGGACATGTGTAGAGATTATTTTACGTGCCTCTTTGTGATTAAAATAATTCATGAAAGGCAATAAAGTAAATTTGTGATTGACTACAAATAAAGCTGAAATTCAATTTCATACCTGCTGTGGGTTTCTACTACTGGCTTTGCTGCATTGATATTAAACTTTTCTTTCTTCGGCAGCACTGTGCCAAAAACATTCTTCCTCCTTGGAGAAATGGCATCTACCTCTTCAGCTCCAACGATTTTGCTGCTTTCTTTATTATTACTAACATCAGCTAATTCTTGAACATTACTGTCATAAAGGTTTTCTTTTGTTGATATTTCCTCTTTTTGAGTTTCTGGTAAACACAAAAGATCGTCTGATCTTCTTTTCTTTTCCTGAGATTTTTTGTAACCATACTCCTCTGCTAGTGTTATGTCATTCTTTTCCAAATCTTCCTCTTCTTAAACAAAATAAAAGAATGAAATTTTTAGATATTTTCAATAATATTAAAATGTATGATCATGTAAGATGCTGTACACTTGGCATGACAAAAATAACATTTTTTTAATTTAAATTAGTTTAAAGAATTGATACTTCTTATTAATGCAACACTTAACACAAATTGCAATGGTTTCTTAGAAAATTGTACAAGAACACCGAAAAATGCATTCAATTGTTTCTCTTTCTTTTAATACAACATAAAAATACAACATAAAAAATACAACATAAAAACTTATTCACACTCACCTCTTTTTCTTTTCCCATGATTTTGCCTCAGATTGTCTATTCTAATAGTTTTCACCTGCACTTCAATGCCAGCAGTGCTCAACCTTTCTGTCCTAGAAGGCTCTGTTTTCAAGGTAGAAACTGAAGACTTGGCTCTGAAGTTTTTATCCCATATACTAAGACGGTGGAGCATCCCTGAGCGTTTGCCAGTGTTCTGCTCCCACATCTTGACCTTTTGGGGTGGAGGCTGGAAAATTTTTACACTCAGGAAGTTACACATGACAAACTTAAAGACTTACCTTAACCAACTTACTGAAATTAGAAAAAATAATAATAATAAATAAATGGATATTTATAATGACAACCATGAAGACCAGGGTCAGTTTCCCACCTTATAAGTATCTGGATCATAGTCATCCATTCTTTCTCCATTGTAGATGTTGATGTTTCCCAGTGCTATTTGATAAGCTCGCCCATTACAGAAGTAGCTGATTATGAGTTAAATACAACAAGAATGATATTTTTTTTCTAATATTATGAAAAAAATTCCAACCCTTCCACGCTCAATTCTCACCCTGCACTAAAATTTATCAATATTTTGATTTGAATTATCTGAAATATAAACCACACTAGATAAGTTCATCAAATAACAATAATGCAAACCAACAGAGGAATAAGAGAACAGGAGAGTTCATTTACACCCTTATATCACCGACAAGTTCGAAGAGTCAAGGATACGCTCCAGCATACTCCAAATCCTTGGGGTTCATTCCATCAGGGAAGGGGTTAAGGGGGGCCAGACGTCTCTGCAATGGGTCAAATACCACCTGGTATAAGAATGTATTTTCTGCCTGTGTAAAACCATCTATATATTCCTGGGGCACCTCTGGGGCATTCTTCAGGTAGGTGGACAGTTTCCTTAACACCTGAAGGTAACCCATATATAGGTGTGGCATTATATTCTTAAGATTCTATTAAAATAAAAATATTCATATTTATAAATATGAATATTTTTATTAAAATAAAAATATTTAGCAACTTATATGATTTGGGTTGTAGAGGGTAAATGTTGGTGACTTTTTATGACCTTATGTCCTCTTTATGCATGTTACATCTGGGCAAAGGTTTCTCATAGCACAATGAAACATTTTGAAATAAAAAATCATTGTTCAAAATGAATACTAGATAACAAAGGATATGCAATACAAACTATAATGTACTTTATAACATACCTTCGTCATATCTGGATTTTTTGCCTTTTTAATGATCTTGGCAGCATTTCCGAGTCCAATCCCTCGCAAACTTGGCAAGTAATCACAGCCAGAGAGAATGCACATGTGGCGAAACTTTTCAAAAGTGCAGAAAGAGTTTTTCAGACTTGCTGCCTCACCCAGCCGTTCCTTCTCAATCATGATCCCGTTGCCATTGACATCAAGTTTGTATAAAACCTGCAAGACAATGTTGAAGTTGGTGTCTATGTATTATCTATTTCCGCATGCAGTAACTTAATGACAATACGGGCGTGATGAATCAGTCAGCGAGGGCAAGTCTGCTTAATTAGCACAAATTGTATGTCTATAACACTATTTTGTCATCGGGGACAAAGGAAATGACAGGTACGTCATGCTTCCAGATTAGATCTTCAATTAATAGTTTCTTCCTCATTGACGAGAGCTATTGAAAGGACAACAATTGACAAAGGGCCCGGCATGCAGTATCTATATGACTGGCTTGAAAATTTACCGAGTCTTGCCGACGATGTGGTCGAACAATCAGAACAAGCAAAAAATACTTTTGCATGATTTTGACGTATGGACTAAATGTTTGGGCCCAGAAAAATTAATTTTAAAATATAATTTTTTTGGTCGGATTGACTGGGCCCGTCGAAATGCTTGGCACATTACCGTAAAGCAAATGCATCCAAAGTGTAAAAGTTACTTTGATAACTGCACTAAAGGCTCCCATACCCTTTCACATCCAAACAGCAGGAGATCCGAGTCCTCTGTGATGATAATCTGAGCAACTCCTATCTTGTTTAGGTAGGCAAGCTGAGAGTCCGCTTCATAGGGGGCTACAATACAGTCAACACCCTTCTCACGGCATGCCTGAAGAAAATATTTGGTACATTCTTTAAGACAGATTTAATTTTGCATCAAAACATTCAGGGGTTCATGGTTAATTTTCATAAAAAATTACTTTCCATTTCTATCACATCTGACTTATTAATGACCACCATTAATTTTTTACCGTTGGTAGCCAAATATATGCTGAGTTTAAAACTTCAACATGAGATTTTTTCTTGTCAAGAACTGTAGATACCTTCATGAGTTCCAGCGCCATCTGTGGGGTGATATCAATACAACGCTCTAGACACTGCCTTGCTTCACTCTTTTTACCTTCTCGTAGAAATTGGGCAGCTTTCTTCCTGTAGGCATCTCTTCTCCTGAAAGTTGAAAATATTGCTTAAATATTTAATATTTATTGTGAAGGCAATGACTTGATTTTGACATAATGAGGACTTTTGATTATTTTGAAAAATAGTGTGCTGACTGCATAAAATCATTATCATTCATTATTATTAATGTTTATTAATAAAAAAAATTCAAGGAAATGAAATTCAAACATAAATCAAAATAGAAATGGTTATCATAATGGACAGGCCTTAATATTTGTTGCACTTTTAGTTATCTTGAAAACAAGGGGTTTTTACTTGTTTCTACATTCATATCTATATCCAACCTCATAAATATGATACAAATTTATGAAAACCAAAAAAAATACAATGACTTTACATTAAACCAGTTACATTCCATCTTTTTGGACTAAAGTATTAAACAGTTTATCTTGAGAGCACTGGGCTATTTCTAGTACAATTTTCCCTAGCCTCTAGCTCTACTAAAACTACAGACGAAAGACTAAAATTTCAAATTTTAAACCAAATCAATTGGTGATAATTATAATGATAATTAACAACAACAAATAACAAAACATCACAAATACAAAAAGGCTAAGAATATGTCTATTATCTATCAAAGTGAAGAGAGGCTGGGAAATACAGACAAAAATGGCCAGTAAGGCCATTTTAATCATTTCTCATACTGCCAACACATGGATAAAAATAAAAAGTTATCTTTACTCTCTTCTTGTTCTCTCCACTTCTTTCTTTGAAGGCAGGTGACACCCATCGAATACCAATACAGGTTTAATATCCCAGGATAGCATGGCATTCACAAACTTCATACAGTAGTACACATACCTGAAATGATAATGAAGGAAGTTATAGATATAGAATGAAACACATATTTCTTTTGGCCAACAAATATTTCCAAGTGAATGTGAGTCACATTTATGAGTAAGATTAAGGCATCACACCACAGTGCATATCTGATAATCAGCCAGTAATGGCAGTATTTATGTTTTTTTTAATCCAGTAGGGGGCTAGGTTTATCAAAAATTGCACTAAAGTCTGACTATATAGACTAAGTGACTTACTGATCTGTCTTTTCTCCCACAGCCAGTTTTTCTGCACAAGCAAAAGCTCCCTTGTGTAGCCAACAATATGCGTCTACTGCCACTGTGCAGCCCTTGTAATCCTTCAGGTTGACTTCTCTCTGAACATCCCTTAGGAAGGGTAAAAGGCCCTGGATACCCATGTTAGTTCTCCAGTTCTTTGCCTCTCAACCTGTGTGTCCTATTTATCTTAGCAGTCTCCTGCTTTTTTTATCGAAGTTGGCAAGATTTGCAGGAGCAGATCAATGTTTATAGTATAAATTATACTGTATTTCTAATTAAAATATTGAGGACTATATTTATGGCGTTTCTTGCAAATCTACGATAAATATCCTTTAATATTACATCAAGAATACATATTTCTGTAATTATTTAAATAACAGAGAATCAACAAGTCGTTATCTCTTGTCTTCTATTCACCTTGCAGCGTTTCCATGTTGTAATTATCTTTTTATTCAATCCCTCCTTCCATCTTTCGCGCGTCCACGGTGCATGCTGGGAGATTTCGTTTACCTGCTTCAAAATCCTTTGAACAAAGGGCGTTTGCGAAACAAAAATTATGCTCCTCAAACTCAAATATTACACAAAATGTATTTATATTGTTTTTTATGGAAATTTATCCAGACGTTCTTTCAAAAAGTAATGAATTACGTTACTCTGAGATCGTGATGTGTCATGGTGGAAAGGGAAAGAATTTTTTGTTTTCGTGGCATTGCTAGACGAATTTTGTAATTGTATTTAAAATCATGGATGCATCAAATAATCAAGCCACATTTGGAAGCCCTCCGTACAATCCTGGAACTCCAGGAGAATCACAGTACATGGTGGAGAGTCCCAGTAAATATATGCCAACACACAGCGACTTTCAGTTTGTCGACGTTGGTGCTGCAGGCAGTCAAGGTAAGACTTAAGATTTCGATCTAATTTTACAAGCAGGGTACTTAAACCGACAGGTTTTCACACACAATAAACGATTGGCATAACCCCCAAATTATGTGGACTGAGTTTTAATTTTGAATTAACTGTGCGGCAATGCCACCTACCCCCAAACCACTGACACCAACTTATCTTGTGTCAGGATTACTGAACAGATCAGTTGCATTCTCAAGAGCGTAGCATTGCCTTACAAAGTGGTGCCTGAATTGCAATCATTGACTGTAATTGCAGTGCCATTATACATTCTCATAGACTGGATTTGTAATTAAACAGAAGTGGCAACATTTGAAAAATAACCATAGAAAATGACCGTGCAATGGCCCTAAACTAAACAGTCCAGTGTATTCCAGGCTCAGAAAATATAAGTGGTACACTAGAGAGTGGACCAGAACCAACAAGCAGTGGACATAGCTATCCCAGGAAACGCGGCCCTGCCTCCCAGTTCTTGGAGAACAAAGGTTTTGGCTGGCTCCTGGAGGAGGATGAAGATGTGGATGAGGAAGACCAAAGGCCTTTGTTGTAAGAGTTATGGAAATTTAAAAAAAATATTAGTAATTAGTTAAATGTAAGCCTGTAGAGTAATGAAATATTTGACAAATATTAAATAATAAAAAAAAATTTAATAAATTATTTTAATAGATAATAAAAATGATAAGATTAATGATAAACCCTAAAAATGATCATTTCATATACATGCATGTCTAATTATTTCAGAGAAGAATTGGATATTGATATCCCTGATATACTGTACAAACTACGCTGTGTTCTACTACCTGTGCCTGTGATGAAGTGGAAAGTGAACAGAGAAGTGCTGAGGGACAACCCAGACTTCTGGGGACCTTTAGTTGTTGTTCTGGTCTACTCCTTGCTGTCACTCTATGGGCAGTTTAGGGTAAGGGTTCTGGTGCAGTTGTGTTTTTTGCTAATATGAGGGTGAACATGTATTTTAAGGGTAAATTATGTATTTATGTATTTAGATTTTTTTATTCAATTCATCTTTTAAAGGTGGTAATATCAATAAATGAATTTATAACTGCAGGATGGATTCCACAAACCGAGGAAATACACAACCAAATAAATTTATCACTTTTGGTGTTACCATTGGTATATTTAATGACACATTGAATTTATTCCATGTTACAGGTAAACTGATGAAAGTTTTTGAAACATTTTTTACATTCTTTTAAAACAGTAAATGAACATTATTTTAGACAAAGGGAGTAAATTAAGACTTTACACGTAGACTGGACATATGAATTCACTTGTTTTTTGCTTATGCTTCAGGTAATCTCCTGGATTCTCACTATATGGGTGTTTGGTTCCATGTTGGTCTTCATGTTAGCAAGGGTTTTAGGAGGAGAGGTGGGTGATCAACATAGAAATAATTTCTAAAAAAGAGAACTAATTTTCCCGTGAGTTTAGAAATTAATGAATGAAGTGAAATTGTAATTTATTTAACATAAATCAAGTACAAAGTGAACATTTTAAAAATCTTTATGAATGGGAATGTATTCAATCTGCCTTTGTGTTTCAGGTGACATACTCCCAGTGTCTGGGCATCATAGGTTATTCTCTGTTACCCCTTGTGGTGATGGGTACATTACTACCACTAGTGCATTCCTTCTATTATATTAGTATGGTGTTGAAGGTAAGCTGTATGTAATTCAGTTACACGTAGAAATTCACACTTAATCCTAGTAACATTGTAAAACACATGTATTTTCATAATAATCTTCATGCCAATAGTGTATCAATGACAGCAAGCTATAGTAATGTCACAAATGAATAAGATGATCATTGTAGTTAACTTACAAAAATATACAAATTTATAAGAAGATAAAATGAGGGTAAATATCAATTATTTTCCTCTTATATTTTCAGGTCCTAGGTGTTGTTTGGGCAACATACAGTGCAGGAACATTGCTTTGTGTGGAAGGATTGCAGCATAAAAAGCCTTTACTTCTCTATCCCGTCTTTTTGCTGTACATCTACTTCTTTTCATTATACACTGGAGCTTAAGACGAACTATAACATTTCAGCCGACTTGTGTTCAATCTCAGCAGTCACACCAGATATAGCTACAGACCATCATGTTAGCTCCTCTTGGTAAAGTTGAAGTGTACATGGATCTACTTCCAAGTAACCATAACTTGGCCTATAGATCCTTGTCACCAGCTGTATACAGGGAGAATGTCTGGCAACAAGGTTTTCAACCCCTGTTGAGCATGGCAAAATGCCGACATAAGATGGAAAAGTGCCATGTACATGTTGACTTCAATTGGAATCGTGGGGACAGTACATGCAACCTCTACTCTCTTTGCTCTCCAAAATACTTTGGCAGGCTATTCTCATGTGAGAATACATTGTAGAGTTAAATGTTTTTCCTGTACTCTATCTGTGATGGAAATGAGAAGTAACTTAAGATCTGTAAATATCCTTGACATGTTAAGTCAAGTAATATTTTGTAAATTGTCTGGACCCTCGTCCCTTGTGAGAAATTTGGAGATGGCATGAAATTTTGTAAATACATCAGACTATGTGATATGTACTATTATTAAAATATTCTAAATTACTAATTTAATAATGACACATTTGTTTTGAGTTTTATTTGTATATATATTGGTCATGATCGTACATACATTATAACATACATGCATACATACATCGCACATACAAAACTTTTTCCAGCAAAATCTGCTGTTTTGTGATTTCCTTCACAAATGACATTGCTGAAATCTTCAAAAAAATGAATGACTCCAATATGTTATTATTTTATATTTAACTTGTTCACAGTGCCTGGAATCACGTATGACATTGAGATTTCGTGGTTGAAGTTGGTTCCATACTTTTATGTAGAGAAGTGTAATATTGGGTATCCACTTCCAATCTCCACAGTCAAACAAGTGAGACCTATTTACCACATGATGGTATTCAAGGAATACCCCCTTGTTCCTGTGCCACAATACAATTTTGTTTTCTGGTTGGTAATCCATAATGAACATGGTATTAAGTGCATTAAAGCTTAAAATCAGTTTATTCTCCTGGATTTTTAACATGGCAAGCTGTTCCAGCAAACTGAAGAACACCAACCAGAAATCTCCATTCTGCACTTTTTAAAACTAACAGGGGCATTCTGTAGCCTTATGTCAATGTAAATCAATTTTTTTTCAATCATGAACACCAGTCATGGTAAGGAAGCCATTAAAGTTTCAATTTTGCTAACAAAGTTCCTTCCTTCCACTTTCTGATAGTTGATGCTCTGGAATTCTCCCCCTAGGCAGTTCCATTTGGGGTCTGTCACAATGTTTTTGCTGTTGTTCTCCTCCCCTTTCCTAGGGCAATGCTGTACATACACCATGGATCCCGTGGTTGGGCCAGTTTTTATAGACAGCACTCTGAATGGAAAAAATATACTCATTAATGTACTGCAACTTGGGGTCACTGGATTCCAAGTTTCTGAATACCACGCAAAAGTGAACATTCACTCATAGAAGTGAGAAATTAAAATAAAAAACAGACTAAGAGAAAATCTAAACATACATTATTAATGAAGTAACCTTTACATAATGCTGGAAAAATGTACAGATGGAAATAACTTTTTCTCATGCAATGCTCTTGGCCCTACTTAAGGCGTTCAGGTGTAGGCGATCATACTGCATAAGGAAGACAAAGTATGTAGCCTTTCACCCAGACCATACCCCCCTGACCCTGACCTTGATCCTGACCTCACCTTTGACCCGAGGGGGATGCCATCATAATGCTGGAGTAGCTCCCAAGGGGCTCCATGTTCCCCAGCCCCAGGTGCAGACTGCTAGAGAGCACCTGCCAGCCTAACAATTTACACAGGTGCTGGGCCATGGTCACCTGGTGCTGGTACATCTGATGGCAAACATGAATATGATTATTGTACACTTGCTAATATACTGTTAAATGTTCTAAGCAAATCAATACACACAGAAAATACATTGTTATTAGCAGAGTAATAAACAGATTAACAGTGAAAGAAAATCTCACAAAATTACCCAGTTGTGAAGCTTATTGGAGCAAAAATAAATATTTGCTGAGGAGTTAAACAGTATTTCAACCATTTGCTTGCAAATTTACTAATGGTAATGAAAAAGTCTTGGTAATTGCTTTATCAATTAGTTTTTTCTGTGTGTATACCTGATTCACAAATTTCAAAATAACAAGGTAAAACTAGACACAAATGTGCTTCATTTTAACTATATTTTTATTTGTTTTTGAATTTATTTCATTGTGTGTGTGTTAATTTGAAGAATAACAGTTTCTGTAACAATTTAAATGGCAAACATCACAGACCTGAGATAGTACCAAGTCTCGTAACTCTCCCTGTTCATATGACAGTGTGATTATGCGTCCATCCCTACACTCTGCTTTTATGGACTCCATTCCAACTGTGAGATAGAAGGAAGTCCTGGAGGGAAAAAACAATAAAAACATGACATATCACTACTAAAAGCTTGTGTAGTTCGTGGTACTGCTGGTATTATAATATTATCATACAGTCAATATAAATCCTCTTTTGTGAACGATTTACTACTGTGTGTGTGTGTGTGTTTTTTTTTTATATTCCAGCATTTACCAATAAAACAATTGTTGGCCCTTATCAAGTGAAAATTACTGCTTCAGTGGTTTTTATTACTACTAGTATATGAATCGGCTATAAATTTGCTACCCATGCTTGTTTATATGGTGTACAGACTTTTATCTACTACCTTCAAACAACCATAACCTGAGGGAATGACAAATAACTGTTAATATTGCACTGTAATTCTTCAATATGTATTACACTCTTGTTGGGTCATTGTAAAATGTGCTGACACCAAATTAAATAAACAAAATATAACAAATATATAAAGTTGTACATGCAGAAAATAATATTTACAGTACCTGATACTCTCATACCCCAGTGAAGTGATATCTACTCTACATGAGGCCTGTGTAGCTGTACTGGTGGTGTTCCAGTGAGCCATTAACTGTGGGTCCTGAAGAGTTCTGGTCAAATGATCTATCAGCTGCATAGTTCTTTGGGAAAAGTGATTGAGAAATAAGTGATCATGTGGGTTCCATACAGTTTTCACCAATTGAGTATCAAAATGTTTTTCTTTTGGAAACAGATTGAGAGATGATTATGTTGGTTTCAACCTGGTGTAATCAAATTGCTGTTTGATATATACATATTCAATCTATATGAAAAAAAATTAAGATGAGACAAACTCAAGTTCAATAAGGTCTGTACCTTATTTATTTATTTATTTATTTATTTTTTGTCATAACATGTGCTCTGGTTACACAGCCAAGAGGTAGAAATAAAAACAACAAAATAAAAACAAGCACTCACTTGGACCTTAGTATCATGTGTTTGGCCTGGTTTATAATCTGGTCCAGCAGAGATTCACTGTTAAAAGAAGAAATAAATAAATTAACAGGGTGAGTTATCAGTTCATATCAAATGCACATTTAACTGGAGAACTGCCACCCAATTTCCAGCAGGGCTAAAAAGGCACCCTTATATGCTACATCAATCCATGTGCTCAATTTTTATGGGTTCCTTTTTGGCCCACTGAGGGAATAAGGGTTGATAACAAACAAGGCTGCCTCTAACTTGCACAAAACTAAGAGCAAAAATTGCCTCACTCCAGAACAGTACTTCAAACTGAATTTTTCACATGATAATATATAGAAACTAGCATGTAAATTTCCTACATGCTAGTTCAAGTTTCCCTGGTTACAGCTTCACACACATTCAGTCTAGTCAGAATAATCACACTTAAAACTCAGGTTTATTTACATTTTTTTATATTTACCATAGCGCTTGAGTGTGACCACTTCAACTACAAACAAACAGTATGATTATTAAAACTACAAACACCTCATACCTTTCCATCATGTCAGATAACTCCTGTTTGCTGAAGGCTTGTGGTCCAGCCAGCCGCCTTCTCTTGCTGACCCCCAGGGAGGCGGTGACAGGATGGGGCATGGGGTGGTGGATGTTCTTATGGTGCATCTCCCTCAGTAACTGGTGCAGAGAGTGCTCCAACACCTGGTTGTGGACCTGTTTGTGATGGAGACCTGGGGTCTGGAAAATTTTGGCAGATATATGGCATTTATTTTATATGGTGCTGAGAATAACTGGTACAATAGATCTTCAAAATATGCAGTTGTTTGTGATATCTGTTTTGATGCCACAGATAATAATTTTAAGATCTAAGACTATGTAAATTTTCATTTTTGTTACATTTGGGAATTCATTTTCACATTGGGATTTCACAAAAAAGAAAAAGTTAACCTATATATAGTCAAATTTGTAACAGAGGTTATTATTTTTTTTTTTGGGGGGGGGGGGGTATAAAATGGCCTTCTCGAAGACAAGATCACCATTACATGTACTCAAATTTGAAGAAAATTTTATGATATAAACATTTTTTATGAATATCTTTCTTTGTGACAAAAAAGTGGTAGTTTCTTGAAAATGAAGAAAATATCAAGATTATTCTATTTACCCTTTTCTCCCTTCCTGTAATGTGACTCAATGTCACAGTCAGTTGTATGCCTGGGAAAAGCTTAAATAAAAATAAGAATTATTATAAATGATAAATAAAATTATTATATTTGCCATTTCAGTTGTGAGACATGGAAAAATCAATCTCTAGACCCACAATTGATTTAATGTTTAATTTCTGTTTAAATGAAAATGACAATGTTATAGTATAATGTTACAGTGTACTCACTGCCAGCAAGATTTGGTTGTCTACTAGTCTATTAATTATCTGGGACTGTTTTCCGATATATTTTGAAAACAAATTGTTTTCTTAGATAACACTTAATTATCTATCCATACAGCATGTAGTACTTACAGGCACTATGATTTGGTTGCCTACTACAATATTTGGTATCTTGGACTGGGACTGCACTGCTTCTCTTGCCAGCTACGTCAAAATAGAAAGAAATATTGAAAGCAATGTTCAAGGGTTTAAAGTTTGCAACCTTAAAGTTTAAAGATCTTACACATATCAAGAATTTTTTTTANTGTCATCCATAAAAATAAAAAAGTGTGGCCTTATGGAAATTTAAAAAAAATATTAGTAATTAGTTAAATGTAAGCCTGTAGAGTAATGAAATATTTGACAAATATTAAATAATAAAAAAATTTTAATAAATTATTTTAATAGATAATAAAAATGATAAGATTAATGATAAACCCTAAAAATGATCATTTCATATACATGCATGTCTAATTATTTCAGAGAAGAATTGGATATTGATATCCCTGATATACTGTACAAACTACGCTGTGTTCTACTACCTGTGCCTGTGATGAAGTGGAAAGTGAACAGAGAAGTGCTGAGGGACAACCCAGACTTCTGGGGACCTTTAGTTGTTGTTCTGGTCTACTCCTTGCTGTCACTCTATGGGCAGTTTAGGGTAAGGGTTCTGGTGCAGTTGTGTTTTTCGCTAATATGAGGGTGAACATGTATTTTAAGGGTAAATTATGTATTTATGTATTTAGATTTTTTTATTCAATTCATCTTTTAAAGGTGGTAATATCAATAAATGAATTTATAACTGCAGGATGGATTCCACAAACCGAGGAAATACACAACCAAATAAATTTATCACTTTTGGTGTTACCATTGGTATACTTAATGACACATTGAATTTATTCCATGTTACAGGTAAACTGATGAAAGTTTTTGAAACATTTTTTACATTCTTTTAAAACAGTAAATGAACATTATTTTAGACAAAGGGAGTAAATTAAGACTTTACACGTAGACTGGACATATGAATTCACTTGTTTTTTGCTTATGCTTCAGGTAATCTCCTGGATTCTCACTATATGGGTGTTTGGTTCCATGTTGGTCTTCATGTTAGCAAGGGTTTTAGGAGGAGAGGTGGGTGTTCAACAAAGAAATATTGGTTTCTAAAAAAGAGAACTAATTTTCCCGTGAGTTTAGATATTAATGAATGAAGTGAAATTGTAATTTATTTAACATAAATCAAGTACAAAGTGAACATTTCAAAAATCTTTATGAATGGGAATGTATTCAATCTGCCTTTGTGTTTCAGGTGACATACTCCCAGTGTCTGGGCATCATAGGTTATTCTCTATTACCCCTTGTAGTGATGGGTACATTATTACCACTAGTGCATTCCTTCTATTATATTAGTATGGTGTTGAAGGTAAGCTGTCTGTGATTCAGTTACACGTAAAAATTCACATTTAATTCAAGTATTGTAAAATACATGTATTTTCATAATAACTTTTATGCCAATAGTAAATCAGTGACAGCAACCTAAAGTAATGTCACAAATGAATAAGATGATCAATGTCAATTATTTTCCTTGTATGTTTTCAGGTCCTAGGTGTGGTTTGGGCAACATACAGTGCAGGAACATTGCTTTGTGTGGAAGGACTGCAGCATAAAAAGCCTTTACTTCTCTATCCCGTCTTTTTGCTATACATCTACTTCTTTTCATTATACACTGGAGCTTAAGGCAAACCGAAACATTCAGCCGACTTGTGTTCAACTTCAGCAGTCACACCAGATATAGCTACAGACCATCATGTTAGTTCCACTTGGCAAAGTTGAAGTGTACATGGATCTACTTCCAAGTGACCATAACTTGGCCTATAGATCCTTGTCACCAGCTGTATACAGGGAGAATGTCTGGCAACAAGGTTGTTCAACCCCTGTTGAGCATGGCAAAATGCTGACATAAGATGGAAAAGTGCCATTTATATGTTGACTTCTATTGGAATCGTGAGGACAGTACATGCAACCTCTACTCTCTTTGCTCTCCAAAATACTTTGGCAGGCTATTCTCATGTGAGAATTCAGTGCTGATTGTAGAGTGAAATGTTTGCCTGTACTCTATCTGCGATGGAAATGAGAAGTAACTTAAGATCTGTAAATATCCTTGACATGTTAAGTCAAGTAATATTTTGTAAATTGTCTGGACCCTCGTCCCCTGTGAGAAATTTGGAAATGGCGTGAAGACCATGTGATATATACTATTATTAAAATATTCTAAATTACTAATTTAATAATGACACAATGCTGATGTTTTGAGTTTTATTTGTATATATATTGGTCATGATCATACATACATGCATGCATACATCGCACATACAAAACTTTTTCCTGCAAAATCTGCTGTTGTGTGATTTCCTTCACAAATGACATTGCTGAAATCTTCAAAATTGGTATTATGGAAATGAATGACACCAATATTTTATTATTTTATATTTAACTTGTTCACAGTGCCTGGAATCACATATGACATTGAGATTTCGTGGTTGAAGTTGGTTCCATACTTTTATGTAGAGAAGTGTAATATTGGGTATCCACTTCCAATCTCCACAGTCAAACAAGTGAGACCTATTTACCACATGATGGTATTCAAGGAATACCCCCTTGTTCCTGTGCCACAATACAATTTTGTTTTCTGGTTGGTAATCCATAATGAACATGGTATTAAGTGCATTAAAGCTTAAAATCGGTTTATTCTCCTGGATTTTTAACATGGCAAGCTGTTCCAGCAAACTGAAGAATACCAACCAGAAATCTCCATTCTGCACTTTTTAAAACTAACAGGGGCATTCTGTAGCCTTATGTCAATGTAAATCAATTTTTTTTCAATCATGAACACCAGTCATGGTAAGGAAGCCATTAAAGTTTCAATTTTACTAACAAAGTTCCTTCCTTCCACTTTCTGATAGTTGATACTCTGGAATTCTCCCCCTAGGCAGTCCCACTTTGGATCTGTCACAATGTTTTTGCTGTTGTTCTCCTCCCCTTTCCTAGGGCAATGCTGTACATACACCATGGATCCCGTGGTTGGGCCAGTTTTTATAGACAGCACTCTGAATGGAAAAACAAAACACTCGTTAATCTACTTTAACTTGGGGTAACAGTTGAATTCCATGCGAAAGTGAACATTCACTCAAAGAAGTGAGAAATTAAAAAAAAAGAAAAAATCTAAACGAAGGACTGAAAAACGATTAATGAAGCTGGATTTACATGATGCTGGAAAAACATACAGATGGTCATAAAACCTTTTTTGCACAAAGTGCTCTTGGCCCCACCTTAGGTGCACAGGTGATCATAATGCACAAGCAAGACAAAGTAGCCTTCCACCAAGACCATACCCCCCTGACCCTGACTATGACCTCACCTTTGACCCGAGGGGGATGCCATCATAATGCTGGAGTAGCTCCCCAGGGGCTCCATGTTCCCCAGCCCCAGGTGCAGACTGCTAGAGAGCACCTGCCAGCCCAACAACTTACACAGGTGCTGGGCCATGGTCACCTGGTGCTGGTACATCTGATGGCAAACATGAATATGATTATTGTACACTTGCTAATATACTGTAAAATGTTCTAAGCAAATCAATACACACAGAAAATACATTGTTATTGGCAGAGTAATAAACAGATTAACAGTGAAAGAAAATCTCACAAAATTACCCAGTTGTGAAGCTTATTGGAGCAAAAATAAATATTTGCTGAGGAGTTGAACAGTATTTCAACCATTTGCTTGCAAATTTACTAATGGTAATGAAAAAGTCTTGGTAATTGCTTTATCAATTAGTTTTTTCTGTGTGTATACCTGATTCACAAATTTCAAAATAACAAGGTAAAACTAGACACAAATGTGCTTTATTTTAACTATATTTTTATTTGTTTTTGAATTTATTTCATTGTGTGTGTGTTAATTTGAAGAATAACAGTTTCTGTAACAATTTAAATGGCAAACATCACAGACCTGAGATAGTACCAAGTCTCGTAACTCTCCCTGTTCATATGACAGTGTGATGATGCGTCCATCCCTACACTCTGCTTTTATGGACTCCATTCCAACTGTGAGATAGAAGGAAGTCCTGGAGGGAAAAAACAATAAAAACATGACATATCACTACTAAAAGCTTGTGTAGTTCGTGGTACTGCTGGTATTATAATATTATCATACAGTCAATATAAATCCTCTTTTGTGAACGATTTACTACTGTGTGTGTGTGTGTGTGTTTTTTTTATATTCCAGCATTTACCAATAAAACAATTGTTGGCCCTTATCAAGTGAAAATTACTGCTTCAGTGGTTTTTATTACTACTAGTATATTAATCGGCTATAAATTTGCTACCCATGCTTGTTTATATGGTGTACAGACTTTTATCTACTACCTTCAAACAACCATAACCTGAGGGAATGACAAATAACTGTTAATATTGCACTGTAATTCTTCAATATGTATTACACTCTTGTTGGGTCATTGTAAAATGTGCTGACACCAAATTAAATAAACAAAATAGAACAAATATATAAAGTTGTACATGCAGAAAATAATATTTACAGTACCTGATACTCTCATACCCCAGTGAAGTGATGTCCACTCTACATGAGGCCTGTGTAGCTGTACTGGTGGTGTTCCAGTGAGCCATCAACTGTGGGTCCTGAAGAGTTCTGGTCAAATGATCTATCAGCTGCATAGTTCTTTGGGAAAAGTGATTGAGAAATAAGTGATCATGTGGGTTCCATACAGTTTTCACCAATTGAGTATCAAAATGTTTTTCTTTTGGAAACAGATTGAGAGATGATTATGTTGGTTTCAACCTGGTGTAATCAAATTGCTGTTTGATATATACATATTCAATCTATATGAAAAAAAATTAAGATGAGACAAACTCAAGTTCAATAAGGTCTGTACCTTATTTATTTATTTATTTTTTGTCATAACATGTGCTCTGGTTACACAACCAAGAGGTAGAAATAAAAACAACAAAATAAAAACAAGCACTCACTTGGACCTTAGTATCATGTGTTTGGCCTGGTTTATAATCTGGTCCAGCAGAGATTCACTGTTAAAGGAAGAAATAAATAAATGAATAACAGGGTGAGTCACCAATTCATAACAAAATGCACATTTAATGGGAGAACTGTTACCCAGATTTCAGTAGGGCTAACATGGCATATGTTACATCAATCCATGTGCTCAATTTTTATGGGTTCCTTTTTGGCCCACTGAGGAATAAGGGTTGATAAACAAACAAGGCTGCCTCTAACTTGTACAAAACTAAGAGCAAAAATTGCCTCAGTCCAGAACAGTACTTCAAACTGAATTTTTCACATGATAATATATAGAAACTAATTATAAAATTTCCTACATACTAGTTCAAGTTTCCCCAGTTACAGCTTCACACACCTTCAGTCTAGTCAAAATAATCACACTTAAAACTCATGTTTATTAACATTTTTTATATCTACCTTAGCGCTAGAGTGTGACCACTTCAACTACTAACAATCAGCATGATTATTTAAACTACAAACACCTCATACCTTTCCATCATGTCAGATAACTCCTGTTTGCTGAAGGCTTGTGGTCCAGCCAGCCGTCGCCTCTTGCTGACCCCCAGGGAGGCGGTGACGGGGTGGGGCATGGGATGATGGATGTTCTTATGGTGCATCTCCCTCAGTAACTGGTGCAGAGAGTGCTCTAACACCTGGTTGTGGACCTGCTTGTGATGGAGACCTGGAGTCTGGAAGATTTTGACAGAAATATGGCATTTATTTTATGTGGTGCTGAGAATAACTGGTACAATAGATCTTCAAAATATGCAGTTGTTTGTGATATCTGTTTTGATGGCACAGAAAATAATTTTAAGATCTAAGACTATGTAAATTTTCATTTTTGTTACATTTAGGAATTCATTTTCACATTGGGATTTCACAAAAAAGAAAAAGTTAACCTATATATAGTCAAATTCGTAACAGAGATTATTTTTTTTTGGGGGGGCGGTATGAAATGGCCTTCTCGAAGACAAGATCACCATTATATGTACTCAAATTTGAAGAAAATTTTATGAAATAAACATTTTTTAGGAATATCTTTCTTTGTGACAAAAAAGTGGTAGTTTCTTGAAAATGAAGAAAATATCAAGATCATTCTATTTACCCTTTTCTCCCTTCCTGTAATGTGACTCAATGTGACAGTCAGTTGAATGCCTGGGAAAAGCTTAAATAAAAATAAGAATTATTATAAATTATAAATAAAATTATTATATTTGCCACTTCAGTTGTGAGACATGGAAAAAAAATCTCTAGACCCACAATTAATTTAATGTTTAATTTCTGTTTAAATGAAAATGACAATGTTATAGCATAATGTTACAGTGTACTCACTGCCAGCAAGATTTGGTTGTCTACTAGTCTATTAATTATCTGGGACTGTTTTCCGATATATTTTGAAAACAAATTGTTTTCTTAGATAACACTTAATTATCTATCCATAGAGCATGTAGTACTTACAGGCACTATGATTTGGTTGCCTACTACAATATTTGGTATCTTGGACTGGGACTGCACTGCTTCTCTTGCCAGCTACGTCAAAATAGAAAGCAATATTGAAAGCAATGTTTAAGGGTTTAAAGTTTGCAACCTTAAAGTTTAAAGATCTTACACATATCAAGAAATTTTTTTACTGTCACTCTATCAAATTTTATTTTATTTCCAATCATTTGTTTCATATATCTGTTCCTTACATACTAAAAAGATATCAACAACAAATAATAACAAAACATAACATTATCAATAATAACAATAACAGATACATACATTATGAGAAGATAAATGTTGGCAACCTTGTACAGCTTACCTGTGCAAACAATTCTTTACAAAATATCACATTTTGTGCTGCTTCCAACTTTCTCTGCCAGGGGGCATCCTCGGGTATACCTGCTGAACTGGAGGGCATAGTCACATTGGCACTCATAAAGTCTGCAGAATCTGAAATAAAGATAATATTTTAAGCATAATTATTTGTACTATACTCTGCATCGATTGTATCATGGGGTATGATTATTGAAGCTTTCTGCAACATAAGCCACTGGCAATTAACTTGTAGATAGGGCATTGGGTATTTCAAAGTTACTAGTCTGATCAGACTATTGGAAATTTTAATGACCATTTTAGATTTTCCATAATTTCTGATTTTCTTCTACTGACTAGTAAATTTTGATTCAGACACAGTTTAGGGCACAAGACAAATATGATCAGCAGCATTAGAAATGTGGATAACTAATGTTATATTGCTAACTCATCTGTACTAAACTGTGTATCAGCTGTACCAGAGAACTTTGCGGCAAAGGTTATGAAGTCAGGAAATTTTATATAAAATATACATGGTTGATCTAACATTAAAATAAATCAATATAACTGAATTTCTACATGACAGATAGCCTATCCTGGTTAACCTACATACCAGCTGCTCTCTTCAGCGCCACCTGTATGTAGGCCACACCATCCAGTTCACTGGGCACCACTACTCTGAGGGGGCTCCTGGGGAGCTGAGCCTTACTGGGGGGTGCTGGAGGGGGGTCTTCGTCCAGGTCACTTTTGATCACCTCAAATGTCCCACTCTGCCAAAACCTGGAACCAGCTAGAAAGAAGGAAGCCCATTTTTGATTCATAATTTAAAATTCAAAAGTGATATGGTAAAAAATAAGTATTCAAATCATGTTATACCAAAGCAGTTTTGTTCCACTGTGAGATGAATGGTAGTCTGCAAGGAACCATACTAACCTCAATACACACCACAAATGGACCATCAGTTCATTTTATTCTTTTCTCATTTAACAAAGCATGCTTAAATATGAAAAAAAAACTCAACAAAAGCTTTTATTCTGCTGATGATGCAAAATATATTTTAAACAGTACTTCTACTTCTTAACCTATAAATAGCAAACTCTCTCTCTCTCCCTCTCTTTCAGTGTATTCAGCATCTCACCAGACTTGTAGCTAAGATCCCCCAGTATGGTGTTCCCCACTTTCTTCAGCCTCCAGTGCTGTCTCAATTTTCTCAGCTCAGTGTGGAAATCAGGCTGACCTCGGTTTTGGTTCTTTTCTTGTTGAGATTTCCTTAACCTTTCAGCTCCTTCCAGTAAGATGCTGGCAGCCTCTTGTAAACCCTATACAGTGATAGAATGGGAAAATTAATAAAAGAAATTATCTTCTTCATTCAAAAGTGTATTACCTGGTATTCAGACCAATGTCATTAAAAAGTATTTCAAAACATCTGTGGAAAAATTCACAACACAATTAATAACACACCTCTTAGAAGTTCCACGCATCCTACACGAGATATAGGAAAATGCAAGTATTAAAACTAAAACTTTAAACACCAGATCTACAACCACTGCATCATATGTATATTTAAGAAAGATACCTTTTATCATATCATACCTTTTTCTTAGCCATGAGTAGCATTGCTGGCCTCTGTTCAGGAGGCTCTTGTTGTACAGGGTCTAGCACCATGTATCTTCTCTCCTTGGCTATGTTTAATACATCGAGTAACACACTCATCTCTGTCAGGGAGTTCCTGTGATAAAAATAATACACCTATATACTAGTCTTTGTTGCATCTGTTCTTTTCTATGCTTGAAAATTTTACATATAACACAAACATCATTTGCATCATGAGACCAAGTCAAATATCACAAATTCATGTCAAGTTCACCGATGTACTATTAACAGGAAGTACTTCAAAATAATGAAATAAAATTATTAAAATATAAAATTAATCATACAATTCATTAACAACTACAAACTATGTGTAATTAAGTATCTCGTGTTATTTAGTCCTTACTTTCAAAAGCAACTATGATATCTAATATGTATTCAGACAGTGTCTTCACCCCTACTCAGGGGTGGATTTTGGCCGTCTTCTGGGTCTTCTGGAAGACTGTCAGATTTTTAAGTTAACATTGACAGCTAACTATTTTTTCTGTCAGAAGATGGTCTAAAAGGATGGATGGTAACAAAGATAATTTGGAAGAGTCTAAGATAATATCTCTGAATGCGCCCCTGTCCACTGGCTTACTTGAGTTTAGTCCTGACTGAGTCCCAAGGCCACAGTGAAGGCTGGAACTTAGCCAGGGCTTTCTCTTCCTCTGTGATTTCTGTCCCTCCCTCTGAGGTGGGTTTTCCTTTCTCTTCACTTTCATCTTTGGAGAAGTCGATCTTATGTGCCAACTTGGTCAGGTTTTCTGACATAGAAAGTGGCCTGGAAGGAGTAATGAAGCAGGGAATTTTGACAGAGCAAACATTTTTTTTCAAAAAGACAGTCGCATGATCAAAATGCTGATTAGTTGGTTAACATACATTCAAATATTTAAAAAAATATATCGCCATGGCAACAACGATAAAGCATATTATCTTGATTACTTGTGTTGAACAATCGATTACATCTTCCACTATATTGACTTAACGAAAAATTCTAGTAGTGTTTCTCGTGAAACAGCCCGAAAACTTAGGAATAAAAATTGGGACTTGCACAATGATCAATCCTATTTTACGGTTTTTTAATGAGCAGGCCCACTATATGAACTATTTGGCAAACATTTTACTTACTGTACATAAAATTCTGTGCCATCCAGTCCAATTTCTTGGATCTGATTTTCCGAAATTGTCTCTACACTGACCGGCACACTCTCCATGGTTTTGTTCGTTGTTCATCTATGCATGAAATGGGTAAATACTGACTTCCGTATAAAAAATCAAGACAGTCCAAACCCTCACCGCTGCAGTACAAAAACCAAGTAAAGATACGGCTACATGTTGATGAAATAAATTGATTTATAGGTCAGACAAGAATTAAGATAAAAAAATCTAATTTCAAATAAAAGGCACAGGTAACAGGGGGGTTAATATATTTTCTATTTTTCTCTCTTCCTTCTAATTTCTATAGGCCTACTTTAATTTTTTTTTCGAATATTTTTTCTTAGTAGAAAATCATGATATACACATTCATTACATCATTAACCCACGAATATGCTTTTCTGTTTATGATTAGACGCTGCCTTGTTCTTGCTTTATATAGCGTCGTGGAGATAGAGTCACTGCAGGTTAGATTGATCAAAGATTTTACATTTCAATTTTTATCTGATTTGGTTTTACTCTGATTTTTTTTTTTTTACTCTCCCTGAGTTCCAAAGTACATTGGAAACTAATCTGACATGTGTGTGTAGCAGATAGCGCATTTTCAAGTCATTTTGATGCACACTAAAATTGACCGAAGCGGGGCAAAAGTAAACTCAGCACCCGTGTTATATTACATGCGCACATCTAGGACGAGGAAAGCCAAGATATGTAGTTACTCGGTTTACATATAATTTTAATTAATATAATGAATTATTTGTGTATGAATAATACAAAACGACAAGGTTCTCATTGTATTCAGCGTTGATTTTGTGTACAGGTTACTCTGAAGCTCATTGCAACTTTACTTCGAAGGATCACGGGAAAGAATAACTAGCGGGGCGTGTTTCGAAAAGAAACCGATTTTATACAGACAAAGTATTTTATTACAAAAGCAACATGTATTTACATGTCAATGATAAAAGTATGGTTAAAATAATCACAAGCTCAAGTTAGAATGGCGGAATGCGGCGTTCCTTTGGTCTGCCAGTGACGTAAAGCCTGGAAATTGCTTCACTTCGGTGTCCAAGCTCTCAAAACTGTGCCACGACGTCTCTCCAGGGGCTCGCGGTGTCGGCTCTGCCGATTTCTCTGAAACTTGCCAGTCGGGCGTCTGCCGTTGATAACGGCAATGAATCACACCGTTGTTTGATTGTTCTTTTTCCTGAAGTTGTTTGTTGCTGCGATGGTGGTGACGATGGTGGATATTGCGTTGTTGCTGCTGTTGTTGTTGTTGTAATTTCGGTTGCTGCTGCTGATGACAGTTAATATGATTACCCAATGGCTCCAGCGAAGGGAAAGAGATACTTTTCTGTTCTGGGAAATTACATTTGTTATCATGAACAGAATCAACTTCTGCTGGCCTCTCGATTATTTTCTCATTTTGTCGTCTTCTTCGATGAATCTGAAACCAAAAAGAAGACGACAAGGATCCCCCTTATTATGTATGGTAGAACATTAGGTCAAAAACATGTTATTGAACGTCAGAAATAGATATAATAGACAATAGGTGTTTGAAAAAATTATATCCTTATCTCTTAATCTGTCGGGAATTTCGTGTACTGTAACACCTATCTTAAGTAAATCGAATATTAATAATAGTAATAATAATAATAATAATTATTATTATTATTATGAGAGAACCTATTTTTCATGTCAATGAAGATGTTGGACAAATTCTCTTGAACACTCACCGTAACAACCAAACAAACGAAGAGGATAACACAGCACAGAGCTGTGGCGATAAAAACACTAGCGGCAGCAGCAAAGCCCGGAGTACTAAGACAGAATCCGGTCTGACCTGCAATGTCAAAAAATATTTGGACACTGTGGGTTTTGTGTGATAAGAGAGAGAGAGAGAGAGAGAGAGAGAGAGAGAGATGCATTATGCAGCCCTTTGTAAATTAAGTTATTTACTATTGTTATCATTAATATCATTATAATGATTATAATCATAAGCAGCATTAACAGCACAGCCATAAACATCACGATAGCTAGCAATCATATTAACTAATTTGAATCGTCTATATTTTTCTATCAAACGAAGCGTTAATGCACAAGTAATCCTAACCGCCAGTGTCGTCTATGCCGGTTCTTCTTGTCCGCACATTAATCACGTTTGTCGCGTGTATCTCTGTAGTCGATATGGTGGTGCTGCCATTGGAGGTAACAATATCGATCTCGCGGCGCTTTCTGCCGTATCCGCTTGTGGTGCCAGAGCATGAAGCCTAGATTAATGAAACAGCAATACTAAAATACTAATGTAATCCGAAAATAGGAAAAAGGCCACGAAAATGCTAAAATGTGGTCTTGTGGAAAGCCCACTTTTCAAGTGTTGTAGGCCTAAAATTAAAATGCCCTGCGCTGGGACTTTTTTATCAATTTTTTTTATCAAAATTTTCAATGATCAGAAAACAGAAGAAGCAGAGCGTTTGAGGTAAGACATTTCACAAGGAGTGTATACACTTTTGCAACTTTACCGGTTCACAGGATGTTCCATTGAAATACGGGCAGACGAGAACTGTTGCGCGAAAGTAAACCTGATTGGATGATGAAAACTTAAAAGCGGTAAAGTCAGCATGGGCCGTCCTGGCATTGGCGGTTGGAGTGCCGTCTGTTAGTTTGGTGACCGCTTGGAGAAGACTGGTATCCAATGGGCAGCTATAAAGAAACGTCTGTTTATATGGGTTTTGAAAATCAACATTTCTTTCAATATTGTCCAACACGAGGTATATTTTGCAAATGAGTTGTTCAGTGAGCAGTATATTTGGTTTTCGTTCCATGGGCTTATACAGTACTGAATATAGAACTAAATAAACTAGATGGTTCAAAAGCTTTGTTTTTGTTTGTCGGAAGACAAAGACGAAGCGAGACAAATTTGATAACAACAAATAGACCCTAAACACTTGATTTTACTCAATTAATTCAACAATAATAGACTTATAATGATCATTTTACTGAGCGATTTAACCCTTTGTCAAAACGTTGCTGAAACTTAAGCACACAATATAAGATGTACAATAATTGAACTTGAGTTACTATACTAGTTTATCTGCTGCACGCCGAGTTTGGGTTTGACCTACCCATCCTCGTCTATAAGTTGTTTACTCTCAGAGTCGGATTCATCGCTGGTTGGAGCCACATACACATGGACAACTTTAATGGAACCGTATACGCCATCTGCAAAATCATTGTAAGAACGACATATAATTTTGCACAATACCTTGTTTTAACTATCTATCTATCTAACTATCTATCTAATTATCATCATTACAATAATTATATCTAGTCTGCTGCATTATTAATGGACATTTTTAAATGTTTTTATTACTACCTTAGTAGAAATAAGCATAAAATTCCAACTGCAAATTGTCAGAAGAAGATATAATATTCAACATGTAGACCGGATTGCAGGTAAAAATGTCGCTATTAGACTAATACCAAACAGATTTTTAAAAAATACAGATAAACCATGTGTTATCGTCTCTATACCTTTTTGTTTGCCTTTTTAGTTTGCGAATAAAACAGAGGGGTAGGAACGTCCTATTCAAACCAAAAGAATAGATCTTTATCAAAGTTCATAAAAATCAGCGAGATGGAAAACGGGATATTTTTAAGATGCTGTCGATAAAATGAACCCAACCCAATGCATTTTTACTTCTATCAAAATGCAGAAAAAATGATCCTATATATACTTACCGCTGTCGTCTGTGAGTTCAAAGCGCAGTTCAAGCTCTGTTCCCAAAGTGACAGTTTGGCCACTGGCCAAGGGGACGTCGTTGGCGTTCAGGACCAGAACTCGGACCCCTGGTGTTCGGATCGTATTACTGATATTGTTGGATGGATTGTTGGCACTAATGAAAATTGTAATTGGGTCAAAGAGGGGTTGGACATTGCAAAACATCGGCAGAGAACTTTTACAAAGGTTCACAAAAGGTTTCAAAAAGGTATGCCTGTTTTTACCCGAACCTCTCATCTATTAATATCAGGCTGTCCAACACCGTCTTCAAAGCTTGGGATAGTATTTAAAGCAATTCCTTGACAATTTAAATTTACAATATATAATTCTCAGATACGGTATGCAAAACAAGATAATGGAATTGAAATAAAAAAAACTTACATATTGACGCCGAAGGCGTTAGCGGCCGCAGCTATGCTTCTTGTGCCAGGAAAGTTACATGTGACGTATTTCAAGATGTCTGAGGCAGTTTCCAGGCCGTCACTGCGAACTGGTACGACTACAGTAGTCGAGTAAGTGCCACCTCCTCCACTGCTAGACTAAATACAATTAAAGTTGGTTTCAAAATCGAACTATGAAATCGAACTTAATAACTGATATATAAATTGAAATAATGATAATAATAATAATAAACTATACATCTCACTACATTTGTTAACTTACTTGATTAAAAGTAAATGAATGCAAATAAAGGATGGGAGTCTGTTTAGTTGTCTTTTCGATTGGGGGACGCCTTAAAATGTAAAATCGCGCTACAGAAAACAAACCATTAAGCATGAGGTAAAAAGTTCTTAGAACACGTTAAAGGAGTGATCTTGAAATTCAGCAAGAGAGCTGGCTCTACGTTAAGTACCCTGACACTACTTACCCATCAACATGGATATCTGAAAATGAAGAAACTGACACGCATCAGATCTAAAAATCAGGCTAATTTCAAACTACATTTCATAATAATGAACTAAACACTTAACCAATCCACAAGCGGTGAGGCTGTTAAAGGTTATCCTATAGGTGTCACTAGATGTCAAGGTAACCGTGCAGTCGGCGTCTCCGCGGTAATATTGAACGTAGGGAGTGAAATAGGATGACGGTTTTACCACGTCCACTGAGAACCCTGTGTTGGAGCACGTGACTGATTCGGAGTCTGAAAACATGAAATAAAAAAAGATTGTATCATTCTTTTTGAACAATGCAAAACGGCAATATTTTCTAATGAAACACGTTCTCAATTTTAACACGATAGTCTTAATATTAATGTGCATGCATGGTTAGAATAAGAAAAGATTATGCTTATTCGCAATAAGTGTCCTGAGCTTCAGCGTAGAAGTGCGCTAGCTTCTTTATTTTCGAATCTCCACTTCGATGAGGCACAAACCCATAAATGGGCATATATTGTTATTTGAAAACGTAGAGCTTTGTATCCTACTTACCTGCTGGAGAAAGAACAGCACCAACAATCTAAAAGAATAAGATAGAATATCGAGAAAATATTTTCATCTTTATACGTACATTATATGGTATATACGTAAAATAATAATAAAAAACAATTGATCTAATAAAAGTTACCTGTGTAAAATACTATACTATTACTATGGAAGCTTTCGAATTAGGCCTATTTGCATTTTTGCAAGACGGCTATAACTTTTGAATCAAGTAGCTCAAAATTTAAAAGAAATTATTAAGAACCTGCATTCACAGGGTTCAAACGTACTGTACAACGCAAAAAAAAAAAAAAAGACTAACTCTGGGTTTTATCGATAAGTGTCACGCCCAAACTTGACTTCTGTGAAATGTTTTGTTGAAAATCATACTAGAATTTCATAATAATAACAATCATCTTTTTTTTCATATTCTCCGAGCAGTACTTCAAAATCCAAAAGGTGCAAATAATAACACCACTGGATTCCTAAGTCAAAGGTATATCTAATAAAGGCGTCAGCTGGCTCCCTCCCAACTCGTACCACTGTGTAAAATGAGGTGATAACGGGTTCGCATGCGCTAAGAAATAACCAGTCAGCCAAAAAGTAGACGCAAAGATGAAACTGTGCTTCAAAAGGCAGGTGTGCCTTGGGCTAGGTACATATAAGCGTAATTTTCGAAGATTGGGTAATTTACAGAGGCCATTTTTTATTTTCTGTCATTTTGCATACTTTTTTCTTTTGAAGAAAGAAAGAGTTCGATGATGCTGTCAGTCTTTTTGTAATATTAATTTGCTATGAATGTGGATTTATTTAATATAATATGAGAATATCCAAAAGAAGTTATGAAATATTTGTGCAACTGAATATTTATCATTATCTGAAGGAATTTATCATGCCTTGCCGCTAGGGCTGTGATGACTAAATTGCTTGATTTACAGCTCAAGCAAAACATTTATTTTGTAATTTTCTCATTTAGAAACTTATAGATTGTTTTTATTATTTAGCATTTAATTGCTTTGTCGAAATGCTTTAACCACAACGTAACTTCCATACGGACATACGGTTCTAACGTACAGAATAAACTTGATTAAGCATAGTCTATGCATTAATAAAATTATTTTATAAGTTTTGTTATACACTGATGTATGGAGATCTTAAACGCGTATTTCAACATCCGTCTTCTAATGTGATATCATGTCGACATACTGTATACAACTGTCAAGACAGAAAATTACTACACTTTACACGCCAAAAAAACTGTTTCCTTGGTAAATTTCAGGTAATTGGAGAAAGGTTACACTAGGACAGCGGTCGTTAAAATGCCAGCACATACTGAAGAAGAGACATAATCTTAGCTGCATTGTACCGTCTACAATGGTGTTGACACTACTTAACAAGTGTGTGTGTGTGTGTGTGTGTATGTGTGCGTGCGTGCATGGGCCCGCGCGCGTTTTGGGCAGGGTCGCTTTTAAAGTTGAAAGACACGTGTTCCTTCACTTCCTACAACGAGTTTGAATAAAAATGGAAAACAAACAAATACCGTTGACAATGTCCCTCAATTAAAACAAGGTAGCAAAGCTGTCAAATTGACAGACATAATGCAGAAAATAATGATGCACAAAACAGGTTATTTTGTCAATTTTGATGAAATACTACATAATGCCTAAAGCAAAATCACCCTAATTTTTATTTATCTACTTTACGTACCATGGACATTCAGAACAGGTAAATACCATAAGGCTTCATGCCCGTGGGAGTTCTAAGTCCCACCATGAGAATGCCAATGTGTGAAAAATAAACATTTTACATAAAAATGAATTACTTTTAGAAAAAGAATCCAATCAGGCTGACTTTCCAAATCGCGCTGGTGCAATATTACATAATGCTCAACAGCATAAATACGACCAATTTTAATTATGCACTGCAGGTAATATAGATATTTAGAAAATGTGACTAGCAAAGGTCTTCAGGCCCACGATAGTTCGAAGTCACACCCTGGTGTTGCCAATATGTGAAAATTGAACAATTAACAAAAAAATACATAACTTCAAGAAAAAAAAATGAAAAGCAGGAAAATAGCACAGCTTTAGGAAAAATGATCCGATCAAGACGGTTTTCGAATACGACTTGTATTTTATTAATATTCATTAATCTTTGTCTGTACATAAGAAAGCAATTATGTCTGCTTTTAAAGAGATTTTGTGCAAATTGATATTGACGGCTAATTTTATTTTGTTCTTTATTTCCTATATATCAATTAATTTACCCATTTCACTTTCAGCAAAAGAGAAAACAAAAGGTCTAAATAAACAGACAATAGTAAGTACCAGAAGCATTCTTGGGACAATGAGTAATAATATTACATGACAACATATATATTTGGATATAAAGATTTATTTCAATCACGCCTGAAATATTAACGAAGTTGTAGCACCGCCCTGTCCTGGAATCAAATGTATTTGCCTCACAGCAAACAGAAATCACGCTAGACTAAAAACCACTAATACCTCCTCACTTAAATTTGGTTTTCATCGAGGACACGCACGACTGTTGTACCCTCTGGTATCACACTAAAATAGTATACAAAATTGAAGAAAGGGCCCCTGTAGGATATAATTTTGTAACAGATTGTTAGTGGACCCTGTTGTCAGAGAGTACGAATATTGAGGTTTGTTCAACATTTTTGTTACTGTTCGTTGATTTATTTCATGTCACTCAGTTGGAGGGTAGGGGAGAACACATACTTAGATGAAAAAAAATACTTAGCTATGAAATTATTTCATACAAGCATATGCCATACATAATCACATGTTCTAAAATTTTCTTTTAATGTTAACCCCCCACCCCACCCCATGATTCTTTAAAGTTTGAGGAAAAGGAAAATCGGCATTTAAACACAAGAAGCTGTCTAAACAAGAGAAATTCACAATAACGCAACCTAAAATGCAACAAAAACACTCTTTGATTTTCGAAAAACTTATTCTTCACTCAATAATTTCAGCGTTAAAATATTCCATTTTCTCGCCATATCTATCTTTCTCCGGGGAAAAAAGCAAATTTCTCCGACACATGAATCTTTGCCGACATTTGGATTTGTTGTTTTGTAACGCTTTTAATCGAATAACTAATTTTTAAAAACAATTCATATATACCGGTGTGTCTCTCGGACATTTGAGAGAGGAATATCGACGCCAGGTTCTTTTATTCGAAAGGTTTTATGGTTGTTAATTAGCTTTGTAGGATGTTTGAAAATGTTCATGTTAAAAAAACACGGCCTTAGAATATTTTCGAATGCACAGAAGTATACTTTTAAATATTCACTTTCGCCTTACCTTTGTCAGTGCGATCATCACCAGAAGTAAACGCCATTTAAAACAATTCATCCTGTTTCTGTACATTTATGAGAAAGCTGAAAATATTATAAAAGTTGGCATAGGTCATTGATATGATAATGTTCGGATTTAAGAGTCGTCGCCATGCATTAGAGAAGAAAAATGTCGAGTCGTTCCCGTCTTTAAGTCCCATTTTTATTATTTACAATAAATAAATCTATGAATAACTTCTAATCGTATTTTTCTTTCTTTCATTCATGTAATAAAGTTCACTCTTTCTAGGAAGAGCGGTGTGGGCACCTGGAAAACAATAACTCCAATTTGAAAAGGATTTCCTTCACAAAATCACGAGTTCCAACTAATTAAATTAAAATGCGCATGAACTTCTTAGTTCAAAACATCTGTATGTCTGAGTAGCATAAGTTCGCAAAGAACACTAAATGTAGTGTTGACAATAAAAAAAAACCAAAATTGACTTAACTTTATCTTACATAACACGTTAGATAATAGATAATTATATATTTGCTTTTAGCTGCAAGGCTGATCTACATAACATTTACACTTCTATACGTTTGTTAACAAGTATTTTCAAATTCTATTCAAGTAGTCAAGAAAACGTTAATGAATACATTACAACTTACCTTGAAGGCAACTCGTGTTGCTTGGAATGAACAAACGGAAGCTTTAACGCGGCGCCTCTAGAAAGAGAAAGCTGTCTGAAGTCGCCCGCCCCAGCGCAACCTATGGCCTTCCAAACACGAAGTTCTTTATATTGACAAACTCTTAACCAAAAAATATGTCTGCGCGTCGCTCGCGGGGACGGTTGTTACCGAAAGAAAAGGAGAGAGACAATGTTTCTGACCTTCATTCTTGTCCTTCTTGTAACTCATACAAAAGTCACGTTGCGTATCGTTCTACCAGTGTCGCTTTTTATCATTATCATTGTGTTCATGCAAAAGGATCCACACATTACTATATTCTCTATTTATCTCGCCTAGAGCGACAGAGACACAAGAAGACAGTAGTACAAATACTACATGGCAACAAGCCAGACAGTTGACTGTCCAATTACACCTTAATTTGTAGGAGGCATTTTGGGCCGGCGTTCTCATTGCCAAGAGCGAAAAAGAAATTTCATAATGACTTTGTACTCGCAGGAAGTACTCAGAATATTTAAGTCGCGTCAGCAGGTCGGTCCACTATTATTCAACAAATATGGACAAAGAAATTTTCTTTATATNGCCATACATAATCACATGTTCTAAAATTTTCTTTTAATGTTAACCCCCCACCCCACCCCATGATTCTTTAAAGTTTGAGGAAAAGGAAAATCGGCATTTAAACACAAGAAGCTGTCTAAACAAGAGAAATTCACAATAACGCAACCTAAAATGCAACAAAAACACTCTTTGATTTTCGAAAAACTTATTCTTCACTCAATAATTTCAGCGTTAAAATATTCCATTTTCTCGCCATATCTATCTTTCTCCGGGGAAAAAAGCAAATTTCTCCGACACATGAATCTTTGCCGACATTTGGATTTGTTGTTTTGTAACGCTTTTAATCGAATAACTAATTTTTAAAAACAATTCATATATACCGGTGTGTCTCTCGGACATTTGAGAGAGGAATATCGACGCCAGGTTCTTTTATTCGAAAGGTTTTATGGTTGTTAATTAGCTTTGTAGGATGTTTGAAAATGTTCATGTTAAAAAAACACGGCCTTAGAATATTTTCGAATGCACAGAAGTATACTTTTAAATATTCACTTTCGCCTTACCTTTGTCAGTGCGATCATCACCAGAAGTAAACGCCATTTAAAACAATTCATCCTGTTTCTGTACATTTATGAGAAAGCTGAAAATATTATAAAAGTTGGCATAGGTCATTGATATGATAATGTTCGGATTTAAGAGTCGTCGCCATGCATTAGAGAAGAAAAATGTCGAGTCGTTCCCGTCTTTAAGTCCCATTTTTATTATTTACAATAAATAAATCTATGAATAACTTCTAATCGTATTTTTCTTTCTTTCATTCATGTAATAAAGTTCACTCTTTCTAGGAAGAGCGGTGTGGGCACCTGGAAAACAATAACTCCAATTTGAAAAGGATTTCCTTCACAAAATCACGAGTTCCAACTAATTAAATTAAAATGCGCATGAACTTCTTAGTTCAAAACATCTGTATGTCTGAGTAGCATAAGTTCGCAAAGAACACTAAATGTAGTGTTGACAATAAAAAAAAACCAAAATTGACTTAACTTTATCTTACATAACACGTTAGATAATAGATAATTATATATTTGCTTTTAGCTGCAAGGCTGATCTACATAACATTTACACTTCTATACGTTTGTTAACAAGTATTTTCAAATTCTATTCAAGTAGTCAAGAAAACGTTAATGAATACATTACAACTTACCTTGAAGGCAACTCGTGTTGCTTGGAATGAACAAACGGAAGCTTTAACGCGGCGCCTCTAGAAAGAGAAAGCTGTCTGAAGTCGCCCGCCCCAGCGCAACCTATGGCCTTCCAAACACGAAGTTCTTTATATTGACAAACTCTTAACCAAAAAATATGTCTGCGCGTCGCTCGCGGGGACGGTTGTTACCGAAAGAAAAGGAGAGAGACAATGTTTCTGACCTTCATTCTTGTCCTTCTTGTAACTCATACAAAAGTCACGTTGCGTATCGTTCTACCAGTGTCGCTTTTTATCATTATCATTGTGTTCATGCAAAAGGATCCACACATTACTATATTCTCTATTTATCTCGCCTAGAGCGACAGAGACACAAGAAGACAGTAGTACAAATACTACATGGCAACAAGCCAGACAGTTGACTGTCCAATTACACCTTAATTTGTAGGAGGCATTTTGGGCCGGCGTTCTCATTGCCAAGAGCGAAAAAGAAATTTCATAATGACTTTGTACTCGCAGGAAGTACTCAGAATATTTAAGTCGCGTCAGCAGGTCGGTCCACTATTATTCAACAAATATGGACAAAGAAATTTTCTTTATATAGACCTTCTATGGGTATGGAGACCTGTTAAGCGCGAGGTTTTCTGACATCCGTCACAATTTTCAGCACTTGCCCACTATGGCTCTCCTGCAATATAATGTTAATACGATAAAAATATTCAGATCGTTCACTTAAATTGGCTGAATCCAATTTAAAAATTACACGCGTTGACGCATTTTTATTTCATCCTTACTTTTTTGTATGGGCGTTTATGTCCTTCCTTAAAAAGCATGCGATGAAATTCGGGGCACGAGAATAGGTCACGCGAGAAGGAAGATGTTGGAACCGGCAATATGACGATATCAATATTGTATTGTTGTCTTTCGGGGTAAATAAATACTAGTTATCCTTTTTTCATCGGGTATTGAGATTCAATTTTAATAATGGTTGTCCTAATTCATATGGCATCAAATAAAAGGGAGAACGGACACCACGCTTTCTTTAACGTTTCACTTTTCAAGATGTACCGACGCTACGGTTGGTCCGTTTATCACCACTTACGAGTACTGCATCTTTCATAGTTTTAACTAGGTGAATTGCAATGATTTTTATTTTTTTTTATTCAAAATATTTTAATAAGCAGATTAAATGCATCACGGATGTCATAGGCAAAGACCGATTATTTCGAGCTCAATTAACAATCATTTTCAAACACGCACTCTTTATGGCACAATCAATTCAAAGAATCGGTGAAACAATACAAAATCAGCAGCAACGCCCTTTTAATAATCATTACCATTACAAACAATANAACAATTAGAAAAAAAATTAAGACAGATTCACAGGATTGTTATCAAAACTTCTTGAAATGGCATACAGTGCTGACATCTGTGTCAACTCTGAAATTCCATACACATCATAGGTATCGGTTATTTTCTCTGCACCGTGCATTTGTTTTACGTTAAAATATATTGTGAGGGTACAGCATCACGCGGCGTTCCAATAATGAATTTTCAATTGTTATCGCTACGATTCTTTTTTGTTGTCCTTACTGTTATTTCTTCGTTTGTCACAACTGCATTTTTCCCCAATATTGGCCTTAATGCAGTTCAATTCCTTCAGTTGTCCTTCCTGCCACACATTTATTTAGCTGACCTTACTTTCATTTCTTTCAGTTATCCTAGCTGCATTACTAACTGGAGCTCATACCTTTCTTAGTTGTAAACTGTTACTTATCCTCTGTCATAGATGTTAACAATACCTCCCCCCTGCCACTTCCCTGATAACAGCATTTGCTCTGTCTCAGTTCTGAGCAGGTATTATATCTTCTGTTACCATGAGAATAGTCGAGATTTGACCAGTGTCATTGCACGGACTACAGCATGTGCTCTGTCTCAGTTCTGAACTGTTGCTTATCCTTGTTGCCATGACTACAGCCAAGGTTTGACCTCAGCTGCCCAAACTGCAGCATATGCTGTCTCAGTTCTGAACAGGTTGCTTATCATCTGTTGCCATGACTACAGCCGTCTGTTTTGTGTCATTGCCTTGACTACAGCCCACCATGTCACTTGTGGTACATCTGAACAATGCAGGCCGTGATCATGACCATGTACCGGTCCCAGACCTTTGCCATTTGAGGATTAGACCTACAATAAAGTGAGACTCTCATGAAAAGTGCCACATATAAAACAGTGTGTGTTTGTGAGTGCTTGTGTCTGTGTCCATGTGTGCACGCACAAATGCAAGCATGACAGGCATGTGCTTGTGTGTGCGTATGTGTGTACACCACCAACATTCTCAAGTGTATTAGGCTACACACCAAAAGAGTTCTTTACATTTGCAGAGACAAGTATTAAAAGAGAGCAAATTCTTCTAAGTGCTCTGATTTGACCTGGGACAAATTCTAAAGGGTCAATAGAATTAAAATTATATCCCATACCTAAAGTGCTCTACCATGTGACTGGTGTCTAGGTAGGCATTAAGGAAAGCCTCTACATCATCTTTGGTCCACATAGCTTGCCGACAGGGCTCTATAAACTGAACAAGAGAAAAAACAAAGGTGCCTTAACATGGGGCTTCTGAAAAGCAATTTTTAATAAAAGTTTTCAAAGCAGAAAAAACTTATTTTCGGCATCAAGTTTGGAAAATTTCCCCTTCATTCTTGAAAGGAGCTTAGATCTAACTTTTGTTTCTTTTACTTCTAGAATATTTCTCAACTGAAACATAATAAATTAAACATATATCTTACCTAGACTTCTTTTGAAAAAACAATTAAACTACCCAAATCTATACATGTGCATGACTTTTATGTCTCTGCTATAAGATGATGAAAACTGATGAAAAACAATTCACAAGACATTTCACCCAACACCAGACATTTCATATGTTACCTTTTCTACTAAATCCAAAAATAAATCCCTGGATTCTTTACTATGGCTTAGTCCACTCCCTATACCAACTATTACTTTCGAAATATTCTGTAACAGAAATATGTACATTTAATTTTTAATTGGCCACATGAAAATGTCTAGTTAAACAAAATTGAACCTTCTCCAACTGTGCTCAAATCTGGATGCAGAAAATAACTGCCTCTTTTTTAATGTTGCACAATACAAGCAATCTAAATTTAATTGCCCATTCCAGAGTGTAAGAGAAAGTTATCTTTCAAATTAAAGAGTTAATTATCATATAAAAATAGATGATCTGCATTAAGATGACTGAGGCTCTTAGTGATAGCACTGGGTAAAGATATGGATACTACATAATCATATCATTATTTCTGCATGCAAAACATACCTTAAAATTTTGCTCAATGTCTGTAAAAGCTCTGTCACTCAGTCCTGTAAGTGTGCGCAACACTAAGCTAATCAAAAATACAATATAATAATGTTATTACCACTAGCAAGGTAATGAGGGCTAATATAAAAAGATTATTATATGCATCCAGCTAATATAAAAATACAAAACAAAATGGAAAAAAAATATTTAGAGATGTATTATATCACAAAGACAAATTATTCTGCCTACAAAATTTATGAAATAGGAAGATAGATATTTCATTCAATTTATTATTAATCAAAATCCACAGGCAATCATTTGTAAAAAAAAAAAAAAGACAATCTTTTTTATTTCATTTTGTGCATTTCTAAATGGTATAAAGTTACACATGAGGTCCTACAGGTAGTAGAACCAGTATAAATAGTAGTGGTAGTATTACCTTTTATGATCTTCCACATAATCTGACAGTTCTTTGACATCTCTGAGAGCCTGAAGAAAATCTCGGTCCAGGTCTGTATCAATGTCCTCACTGGTCAGTGTCTTCACCCCTGAAATTGTCGGAAAATACTGCAATAAAATCTACATAATAAAAATTAATTAAAAAATTTTTTATACAATCTTTTCATGTCAACATTCGCGTGCACATCTTACACTGATTAAAAAAGGAAACTTGTTAGTTGAGTAACTATATGGATTTATATAACAGCATTAAAATTAATAAGATGACCTCAGAAATTTTTCTTTGTGAACCTGAACTTTGAAATTTAAAAAGGTCAATTTTTAACCTATGACCTATCCACTGACCTCTAGCCCTTGACGTCCAGTGCGACATCATTTGGTCAGCACAGAAAGCAAAGTCTTCGAAGGTCAAATAATGGAGTTTCTTCTTCCCCGTCTCAAACCTGTTATTAGCGATAAACACTATTGCAGCATATTTTCTGGAATAAACGAAAGAAAGCCTAGTCATTTATTTAAATCATATTCATAAATAAACTGGAACTGGTAAACCCTAGCTTTTCATTACATGTTGTTAATTATGAATGAAACTTCACATAAAGGATGTACACAGTATATAATGTGCAGTGCAGTACTATGCATAAATTTCTTATGAATATTTGTCTATTATAGAACTTGTTATTTTTTTCAAGGTGCCATACTTTGCCAACTCTTCTGATATAAGAAACAGTGTCCTAATGTTTTCCACTAGGGACCCCATCATGTCTTCCACCGTTTTAAACACATGCTTAACATTGTCAAACTGAAAAAAAAAAACATTGTCTTTAATCATTTCCAAATTAATTCACACAAAACTCTAAACAAACCCATGCAATGGCTGACCAGTGGAGAGCTTCATAGGGTGTGTTAAACAATCAGATAATATCATAATTCCTTCACAACAGTTTAGATCACTACATTATATCTATTATACATAAGAAATATTAGAGTGCAGATAAATTATATTCTTCTACAGAAATTTTACAAGATGGAATCAACAATACCTGTCTCCTGCAGCTTTTCAGAGACACCCGTGTCTTTTCACTGATATCATCGAGATCCTTTCTGTTTCTCGATGACAACTTCTTTCCAAGGAACTCTCTGACCACTTCAGGATCAAATTCATAATACCTAAAGATAAATTAGAATTGACTAAAGCTGTTCTTTTACGTGATTTTGGTGATGTTCTGTTGTACTCGTGTGATATGTAAAATGATATGTAATGAAAGTCAGATGATAACAGATTTATCTAGATTAAAATTTTAACTGGAAGGAGATGGATATGCAGAGGTTTGTAGACATATGCAGATAAAGGCATTGCAATGGAAGCTATTTTATCAACAAATTGTAATTAGCTTCTAGTGTACCATAAAACTGGTTTAAAAAAAGCTATTGGGTCTGGCATTCACATACTATAATGTCTTATGATTTCTCACCCAGACATTTGTAATTCTAAGCACTTTAACACATACAGAGGTTTATGTCACATATTTGTAAACTACAATAGATATCCTGGATTGGTCATCATAAATCCTCTTAACTCAATGACTGATAGTAAACTTGATATTTTGGAACAAGAAATAGTTAAAGGACAATGTTCATGTAAAAATACATTTCTCNTTAAATTTTCTTTTAATGTTAACTCCCCACCCCACCCCATGATTCTTTAAAGTTTGAGGAAAAGGAAAATCGGTATTTAAATACAAGAAGCTGTCTAAACAAGAGAAATTCACAATAACGCAACCTAAAATGCAGCAAAAACACTCTTTAATTTTCGAAAAACTTATTCTTCACTCAATAATTTCAGCGTTACAATATTCCATTTTCTCGCCATATCTATCTTTCTCCGGGGAAAAAAGCAAATTTCTCCGACACATGAATCTTTGCCGACATTTGGATTTGTTGTCTTGTAACGCTTTTAATCGAATAACTAATTTCTAAAAACAATTCATATATACCGGTGTGTCTCTCGGACATTTTAGAGAGGAATATCGACGGTTTTATGGTTGTTAATTAGCTTTGTAGGATGCTTGAAAATGTTCCTGTTAAAAAACACGACCTTAGAATATTTTCGAACGCACAGAGTATACTTTTAAATATTCACTTTCGCCTTACCTTTGTCAGTGCGATCATCACCAGAAGTAAACGCCATTTAAAACAATTCATCCTGTTTCTGTACATTTATGAGAAAGCTGAAAATATTATAAAAGTTGGCATAGGTCATTAATTAAATTGATATGATAATGTTCGGATTTAAGAGTCATCGCCATGCATTAGAGAAGAAAAATGTCGAGACGTTCCCGTCTTTAAGTCCCATTTTTATTATTTACAATAAATAAATCTATGAATAACTTCTAATCGTATTTTTCTTTCTTTCATTCATGTAATAAAGTTTACTCTTTCTGGGAAGAGCGGTGTGGGCACCTGGAAAACAATAACTCCAATTTGAAAAGGATTTCCTTCACAAAATCACGAGTTCCAACTAATTAAATTAAAATGCGCATGAACTTCTTAGTTCAAAACATCAGTATATCTGAGTAGCATAAGTTCGCAAAAACACTAAATGTAGTGTTGACAATAAAAAAACCCTAAATTAACTGAACTTTATCTTACATAACACGTTAGATAATAGATAATTATATATTTACTTTTAGCTGCAAGGCTGATCTACAAAACAATTACACTTCTATACGTTTGTTAACAAGTATTTTCAAATTCTATTCAAGTAGTCAAGAAAACGTTAATGAATACATTACAATTTACCTTGAAGGCAACTCGTGTTGCTTGGAATGAACAAACGGAAGCTTTAACGTGGCGCCTCTAGAAAGAGAACGCTGTCTGAAGTCGCCCGCCCCAGCGCAACCTATGGCCTTCCAAACACGACGTTCTTTATATTGACAAACTCTTAACCAAAAAATATGTCTGCGCGTCGCTCGCGGGGACGGTTGTTACCGAAAGAAAAGGAGAGAGACAATGTTTCTGACCTTCATTCTTGTCCTTCTTGTAACTCATACAAAAGTCACGTTGCGTATCGTTCTACCAGTGTCGCTTTTTATCATTATCATTGTGTTCATGCAAAAGGATCCACACATTACTATATTCTCTATTTATCTCGCCTAGAGCGACAGAGACACAAGAAGACAGTAGTACAAATACTACATGGCAGCAAGCCAGACAGTTGACTGTCCAATTACACCTTAATTTGTAGGTGGCATTTTGGGCCGGCGTTCTCATTGCCAAGAGCGAAAAAGAAATTTCATAATGACTTTGTACTCGCAGGAAGTACTCAGAGTATTTAAGTCGCGTCAGCAGGTCGGTCCACTGTTATTCAACAAATATGGACAAAGAAATTTTCTTTATATGGACCTTCTATGGGTATGGAGACCTGTTAAGCGCGGAGTTTTCTGACATCCGTCACAATTTTCAGCACTTGCCCACTATGGCTCTCCTGCAATACAATGTTAATACGATAAAAATATTCAGATCGTTCACTCAAATTGGCTGAATCCAATTTTAAAATTACACGCGTTGACGCATTTTTATTTCATCCTTACTTTTTGTATGGGCGTTTATGTCCTTCCTTAAAAAGCATGCGATGAAATTCGGGGCACGAGAATAGGTCACGCGAGAAGGTAGATGTTGGAACCGGCAATATGACGATATAAATATTGTATTGTTGTCTTTCGGGGTAAATAAATACTAGTTATCCTTTTTTCATCGGGTATTGAAATTCAATTTTAATAATGGTTGTCCTAATTCATATGGCATCAAATAAAAGGGAGAACGGACACCGCGCTTTCTTTAACGTTTCACTTTTCAAGATGTACCGACGCTACGGTTGGTCCGTTTATCACAACTTACGAGTACTGCATCTTTCATAGTTAACTAGGTGAATTGCAATGATTTTGTTGGGTTTTTTTTTTATTCAAAATATTTCAATAAGCAGATTAAATGCATCACGGATGTCATAGGCAAAGACCGATTATTTCGAGCTCAATTAACAATCATTTTCAAACACGCACTCTTTATGGCACAATCAATTCAAACAATCGGTCAAACAAAAACAAAATCAGGAGCAACGCCCTTTAATAATCATTACCATTACAAAAAATTAGAAAATAATTTAGACAGATTCACAGGACTGTTATCAAAACTTCTTGAAATGGCATACAGTGCTGACATCTGTGTCAACTCTGAAATTCCATACACATCATAAGTGCACCGTGCATTTGCTGTACATTGCAATATATTGTGAGGGTACAGCAGCACACAGCGCTCCAATAATGACTTTCAATTGTTATCGCTACGATTCTTTTTTTTTGTCCTTACTGTTATTTCTTCGTTTGTCACAACTGCATTTTTCCCCAATATTGGCCTTAATGCAGTTCAGTTCCTTCATTTGTCCTTCCTGCCATACTTTGGTCCTTTGATTATCCCGGCTGCATTAGTAACTGTAGTTTATAGCTTCTTTAGATTTAAACTGTTACTTATCCTCTGTCACAGTTGTTAACAATACCTCCCCCCTGCCACTACCCTGAAAACAGCATGTGCTCTGTCTCAGTTCTGAACTGTTGCTTATCCTCTGTTGCCATGACTACAGCCAAGGTTTGACCTCTTACGCTGCCCAAACTGCAGCATATGCTGTCTCAGTTCCAAACAAGTTGCTTATCTTCTGTTACCATGAGAACAGCCGAGGTTTGTCCTGTGCGTCACTGACCGGACAACAGCATGTCTCAGTTCGAATTGTTGCTTATCCTCTGTTGCCATGACTACAGCCAAGGTTTGTCCTGTGTCATTGCCCTGACTACAGCCCACCATGTCACTTGTGGTACATCTGGACAATGCAGGCCGTGATCATGACCATGTACCTGTCCCAGATCTTCGCCATTTGAGGATTAGACCTACAATAAAGTGAAACTCTCATGAAAAGTGACACCTATAAAACATGGTGTGTGTGTGTGTGTGTCCATGTGTGCACGCACAAATGTAGGCAAGTAGAAGGACAGGCGTGTGTGTGTGTGTGTGTGTGTGTGTGTGTATGTGTGTGTACACCACTAACATTCTCAAATGTGATAGGCTACACATCAAAAGAGTTCTTTACATTTGCAGATACAAGTATAAAAAGCGAGCAATATCTTCCGAGTGCTCTGATTTGACCTGGGACAAATTTTAATGGGTCAACAGATCAAAAATAATATCCCATACCTAAAGTGCTCTACCATGTGACTGGTATCTAGGTAGGCATTAAGGAATGCCTCTACATCATCTTTGGTCCACATAGCTTGCCGACAGGGCTCTATAAACTAAACAAAAGAAAAAAAACTGTAGTGTCTTAACATGGGAGTTCTGAAAAGCAATTTATTTCTTTAATGAAAGTTTTTTAAAAACTTGTATTATTGGCATCAAGTTTAGAAATTTCCCCTCATTCTTAAAAGGTGCTTAGATCTAACTTTTTTAAAAATATTTCTCAACTGAAATATAATAAATTAAACAGACATCTTGATCAAACCTTCTTTTGAAAAAACAATTAAATTACCCTAATCTATACATCTGCACGACTTTTATGAGTCTGTTGTAAGATGATGAAAACAGATGAAAAACAACTCACAAGACATTTCACCCAACACCAGACATTTCATATGTTACCTTTTCTACTAAATCCAAAAATAAATCCCTGGATTCTTTACTATGGCTAAGTCCACTCCCTATACCAACTATTACTTTTGAAATATTCTGTAACAGAAATATGTACATTTAATTTTTAATTGGTCACATGAAAATGTCTAGTTAAACAAAATTGAACCTTCTCCAACTGTGCTCATATCTGGATGCAGAAAATAACTGCCTCTTTTTTAATGTTGCACAATACAAGTAATCTAAATTTAATTGCCCATTCCAGAGTGTAAGAGAAAATTATCTTTCAAATTAAAGAGTTAATTATCATATAAAAATAGATGATCTGTATTAAGATGACTGAGGCTCTTAGTGATAGCACTGGGTAAAGATATGGATACTACATAATCATATCATTATTTCTGCATGCAAAACATACCTTAAAATTTTGCTCAATGTCTGTAAAAGCTCTGTCACTCAGTCCTGTAAGTGTGCGCAACACTAAGCTAATCAAAAATACAATATAATAATGTTATTACCACTAGCAAGGTAATGAGGGCTAATATAAAAAGATTATCATATGCATCCAGCTAATATAAAAATACAAAACAAAATGGAAAAAAATATTTAGAGATGTATTATATCACAAAGACAAATTATTCTGCCTACAAAATTTATGAAATAGGAAGATAGATATTTCATTCAATTTATTACTAATCAAAATCCACAGGCAATCATTTGTAAAAAAAAAAAGACAATCTTTTTTATTTCATTTTGTGCATTTCTAAATGGTATAAAGTTACACATGAGGTCCTACAGGTAGTAGAAGCAGTATAAATAGGAGTGGTAGTATTACCTTTTATGTTCTTCCACATAATCTGACAGTTCTTTGACATCTCTAAGAGCCTGAAGAAAATCTCGGTCCAGGTCTGTATCAATGTCCTCACTGGTCAGTGTCTTCACCCCTGAAATTGTCACAAAATACTGCAATAAAATCTACATAATAAAAATAAATTTAAAAAAATTTTTATACAATCTTTTCATGTCAACATTCGCATGCAAATCTTACACTGATTAAAAAAGGAAACTTGTTAGTTGAGTAACTATATGGATTTATGTAACAGCATTAAAATTAATAAGATGACCTCAGAAATTTTTCTTTGTGAACCTGAACTTTGAAATTTAAAAAGGTCAATTTTTAACCTATGACCTATCCACTGACCTCTAGCCCTCGACGTCCAGTGCGACATCATTTGGTCAGCACAGAAAGCAAAGTCTTCGAAGGTCAAATAATGGAGTTTCTTCTTCCCCGTCTCAAACCTGTTATTAGCGATAAACACTATTGCAGCATATTTTCTGGAATAAACGAAAGAAAGCCTAGTCATTTATTTAAATCATATTCATAAATAAACTGGAACTGGTAAACCCTAGCTTTTCATTACATGTTGTTAATTATGAATGTAACTTCACATAAAGGATGTACACAGTATATAATGTGCAGTGAAATACTATGCATAAATTTCTTATGAATATTTGTCTATTATAGAACTTGTTATTTTTTTCAAGGTGCCATACTTTGCCAACTCTTCTGATATAAGAAACAGTGTCCTAATGTTTTCCACTAGGGACCCCATCATGTCTTCCACCGTTTTAAACACATGCTTAACATTGTCAAACTGAAAAAAAAAAAATTGTCTTTAATCATTTCCAAATTAATTCACACAAAACTCTAAACAAACCCATGCAATGGCTGACCAGTGGAGAGCTTCATAGGATGTGTTAAACAATCAGATAATATCATAATTCCTTCACAACAGTTTTGATCGCTACATTATATCTATTATACATAAGAAATATTAGAGTGCAGATAAATTATATTCTTCTACAGAAATTTTACAAGATGGAATCAACAATACCTGTCTCCTGCAGCTTTTCAGAGACACCCGTGTCTTTTCACTGATATCATCGAGATCCTTTCTGTTTCTCGATGACAACTTCTTTCCAAGGAACTCTCTGACCACTTCAGGATCAAATTCATAATACCTAAAGATAAATTAGAATTGACTAAAGCTGTTCTTTTACATGATTTTGGTGATGTTCTGTTGTACTCGTGTGATATGTAATATGATATGTAATGAAAGTCAGATGATAACAGATTTATCTAGATTAAAATTTTAACTGGAAGGAGATGGATATGCAGAGGTTTGTAGACATATGCAGATAAAGGCATTGCAATGGAAGCTATTTTATCAACAAATTGTAATTAGCTTCTAGTGTACCATAAAACTGGTTTAAAAAAAGCTATTGGGTCTGGCATTCACATACTATAATGTCTTATGATTTCTCACCCAGACATTTGTAATTCTAAGCACTTTAACACATACAGAGGTTTATGTCACATATTTGTAAACTACAATAGATATCCTGGATTGGTCATCATAAATCCTCTTAACTCAATGACTGATAGTAAACTTGATATTTTGGAACAAGAAATAGTTAAGTTCTCTATCTCAACATTCATAATGGTACAAAAAATGAAACAATTCGAAGGTTCAAAAGTTAGAAGGGTTCAGTGGACCAAGCATTCACTACAGAACTTTTGGACCAATGAACCCTTATATTTAAAAACTGATGAAAATGTTACAATTTTTCAGGCCAACATAAAACAGTTGTCTATCTGGTCTAACACTGCTCCAGAGTTTTGGCTTGACCCCTCAAAAAACACTTTATATTTTATTACTCATACCTTTCAATCAGCATCTTTTTTGTCTCTGGGTTAATTTGAAAGACAGGTGTGTCAATCAGTTTGCTGGGGTATTTGTAAAACCTCTCCAGCATGCTAAAGGTGCGGTAATGGTCCACAGTGTCACTGAACAACATTTCAAACGTGGCCCCATACTGCTGCAAGATTCCTTTCTGTTGCTGAACCACTGCTGCTTCGTGTGCTAAAACCAGCGGCATTAATAAACTGTCAATTTAGACCCCATTCCGAAATATTTGAAGATTTTATCAACACCGCATTTATGATAAGTAAATTAAGTCAAAAACATAGAATAAGTAGGATTCTTTATATGTGATAAATATTAAATAACGTATGTGACTGTGCTAAGTGAGTGTGTAATGAAAATACAAGCGATCGGCGTTTACTTTGTTTCTTCGCTTTGTCTTGAAATACAATTTATTTCTCCGAGAAAACATTATGTAAAGACAGTGCATCAACAGCATAATAATTTACTCGCCTACCTGTGTACCCCTTCAGCCACAATTCATATATATCAGTGTCTATCAAAGTGTCATTGCCGACAAATATATTCACTTCACCCATGTTGTTCTGCAAAAATTGACCTAGATCGAAATCGAGGCAAAATGAGACGAGCTTTGACGTCATAATCGCTGGTCTGGAAACAAAAGTAATGTGTTCCTTGCGTTCAGCATTTTTTCTCCTTAGGTAGGTTTATTTTTCAGGTGAGTAAATTCTTTACTGAAAAGAGCTAGCGTACCTCCATATGTTGTTGATGACTTAGACCTATACTTGTTATATTCAATATAATTAATTTCACAGATCCTTTAAAAGATAAAGAAAAATGTGTAGAATAATAAAAAATGACTGTTTAAATTTGCGACATTTAAAGCAAACAAATTATACAAATAAATTAAAAAATAAGAAAATTCATGTTTAGACAAAGCAAAATGAAGTAAACCGATATTTTTTCAATCAATTAATGATTTATCAAAAAATCAATTTGAAAATATGTTTCTCTAAAAGTTAAAGCGAAGGTCTAGTTCTAATTAAGCAAATCCGTGGGGTTTAAACTAAAACTATCTCTCTCCAGACTAACATACATACATACCAAATTTATTATATTACATTAATGAACGCGCTGCGCTGCATGGGCATTTGTCGCGCCAAAATATATAGAGCCTACTGGACGTCGCCAAAATACGTTTAGGTAGGCATATCTGTATTTTACTGATAACTGTCAAATAAAAGAAACTTCTCCAAAGATTATTTTCAAACGGGACATTAGAATAATTATATAAAGTTTCGAACAAAGACGGGAAAAAGAAAAGGAAAGAATCATGAATATTCCACCCATACAAAGAAACTCTGCTAATTTTTTTTTTTTTTTTTCGGGAGCGAAGAAGGCAGTTGTCTTCAGATTGAGTAAAAAAATTAATTCATGTTTTTTCAACCCTCACTCTTTTTTAACCTTTTTACTAGGAAATGTGTAGATACTCTCTTTATCCATGAAAGTATCATTAGTTTATACCACTGAAAGTGATTTTGAAGCTAATCAAAGTAGGCCTACTTCTGAGGACTAAAAATGGCCAACTTCATGTCCTATCCAATGTTACCGTTGTTGTTTTCTCGTTGTCAATAAACCACTTCACTGTTTCTGTGATACCAATTATGTCACAATGCGGCTGACAATGTGTGATAGTTACCCGGTATCTTAATAGAGCGGTAATCGACGGCGTTGTCTAGTGACGCCTCAGAGATTGTGACCCCAACGCAATATAGAGGCGCGTTTTTGGAACACACGTTACCATTTTGGGCTCTTTGGGTACTGTAAAAGTCATGGTAAAAATTGAAATTTGAATTTAAATTGAAACAGTCGTGGACTTTTGTTCTATACACATTTATGTTTTAAAAAATTGAATACAACTTTGAATTCATTCAATTTTATTTTTTGCCACTTCAGTATGTGAAATGCACCTCTATATTGGGTTTGGGTGCATATTAACAAGACGTCGAGGACTTCACAAAAACGTAATATCACATGGCATGTCTCCTGAAGGCTTTAGAGAAATTTTGACGTCACAGTTAGATTATGTATAGCCTGCTATATTGAAATGTCAATAACATATTAATAACACGATGTATGGAGACGTCACAGATAATGCCATAGTCTATCAGAATAGAAATTATAAAGATGCTATGAAGACACCACAGAAGTTTTAATACATGCACCACAGTGCACTCTAATTGATAACAACAAAACGGTGCGTGAAGGAGTCACAAATATTATGGCGTCAAAATATACAAATTGTTCACAAATATTAAATGAAAAATTTATTAATACGGCATAGGTCTACATACTGAGAGTATAAAATCGCAACTAAGCTTCAGTTTAACGTTTTGCCGTTAGACAAAAAAGTGCCATTTGATTATGTCCAATTTTATTTTACCACCATAAAATGCATGTAGATAACTTGCTTTAATCCCAAGTTTTGATATGTCAGTTATATTTATTAAATAAATATTTGCTAAACATTGAAGGTCCATGCTTCTAATGTATGTTTGGCACATGTTTATAACTGTTATATGATAGACCAAAAAATGAGATAAAATAGGATTAAAACAAATAAACTAACAGGTTGATTAAATTTAAACCAAGCAACTGGCAAGGGTCTCCACGTATTATTTTGATTACGACATTTAAATTGATTAATATTAATATTAATATTCGAAAACAGAAAAGTGGCTCAATACTTGTTAGATGAATACAACAATACATTTTTTATTCATTCTAGAGTCATTCTATCAATCCACTCATCACTGTTGCATTTACATTTGAAGACAGATCCCCAGCAATTTTTGCAAAATGCTGTCATAGTGCTGGGGTTTTTCATCATTTATTCTCTAGCACGATCTCTGTCACAGAGATCTTATATATCCTCATATCCGAGAAATGCTCTCCAATTGTTTTCAGTCTGAAAACAGCGATTTTGTTTGAGTTCTGAGATTCTGAAAGTTGATTAAATATAACATTTGTCCCGTTTTAGGCTGTCTTGGGCTCGGTAACGTTAGTAGAGTTAGCCGCGGCAAGGTCTAGAGAAGAGTCTGCTGTCTGACCGTCTGAAGAAAAAGAACACAACGGCTTTAGTTTCAGTTAAAATTTCTAACAATAAATAAATAAATAAATTTCAGAGGTTTAGGAACGCATGAGTATATATTTTTAATTTATCACAGGGTTCTATTCTAAGTATTAACAATAGTGAAACCCACGTGCCACCAGCTTTCAGGGAATGACGCTTGTGACGCAACATTCTACACCGTGAATTAAAGAAGTCCCTGAAGACTCAACTCTTTATTATCAGCATGTCCCTGGCGTTGCCGAACGGTTATGGCTTGCTGATAATAGATAGGGGAATTTAGGGACCATTAAAACTTTACCCTTTTACTTTACCAATTACCCTTTCCTAATATCCTAGAACTTCAGTCATAGGTAGTTTAACGTTGCACTGTGTTCCCAGAAAAAAAATGTATTTTTATTTTTATTTTTATGGTAAGACGAAATACGGCACGTTTTTAAATTAGATAGCTATTTTCATACATGGCTATATTGCAAGTAATCAGCTGTACCATATGGCATACCTGATTTTCAATCTCTCTTTCTTCCGATTACCTTTCTGGTAGGAGGAGAAAATCATATAAAGATCGTAAAAAGAGGAGATCCCCCCATTTATTCTTTTCTGTTATTTACCTTCAAAGTTGTACTGCGGCGGGGGCTCTGAACTCCCGATCACCATCTTTGACCTTTGATTTTTAAAGGACGTCTCCTCGAATGTCTCGCTGGACGAATTTCGCGAAATTTCTTCGTCGTTTCTAGCTTGGTCGTTCTTTAATAAAGGCTTTTTACAGTCCAATTGAGGACCATATTCCTCATCTTTGTTCTTCACGTCTTTGACATCACGTTTCCTGACCTTGAGTATTAGGCATGATACCATGATGATCATATTAACAACACCCAAAATAATGAGAATACACAGGCAAATTATTATTCCTATACCAAAGCTTGGAAGCTTCTCTATCACACCGGAGATGTCGCCTGAAATGAAATATAGATATCACATTTTTACATCATGAAATCACCAAAAACAATATTTACTTTAATTTCATTTACGGATATGTACATGTATATCTTTTACTATAAAGACGATAGTGATGATTAAATATCAATTTTAAGACTGTTGTATCTAGCAAATTAAAGTAAATAATCTATACAGTGATTCACACTTTAGGTACATGTATGTTATAATTATAGCATCATGTTCGCCTTACTTTGCTTTTTTGTCATTCAACAATTAGCCAATCAATTCAGTCTTAATAATTAATTCTGTCCGCCCACCTGTATTTGTTTGATGTTGGTCACGCCCAAAGCCGTAACCTTGGAGAGCAGTCTGCTTTACCGTAGGTGTGGCAGTGGTTGTCGTGAACATGAGATATCCTGAAGAAAAAATAAACACCCTCTGCATTTTTAAAGCATGAGTGAAGTAAAATGTCATTTTACATTTCCCACCCACTCATACTACATGTACAGGTATGCTTAACCCGTTTATCTCATCGAACTTTGGACATTTCTCGTTGTAAGAGCGTAAGTCCGTGAATCGTGGTATCTTTAGCTATTCTTTGATTAATCTTGTTTACAATGCCCTTTTTCACAACTAATCTAAATCTCACAATGTATTCACTTCATTGATTGTTAACAAAAAAATTATTGTTTCAAAAAGAGAACAAAACAATATAATATGGTATAACCACGCAGCCCCGCAGTTACCGGTATAGTATTTTGACACGAGTAAGAGTTTTGTCTTGAAATAATCTGGTCACTCGGTTGTAACCAACATAGAATTACTTTGTTAAATTATATTTAGACAATGGCTGTAATGATGTCTCTTACCCGCGCATTGCTCCTTGCACTCCGTCTCCAGTTCCGGACTGGCCCTTAATCTGGCGGGGTGGCACAAGTCTGCACAACTATGGCAACGCTCAATACCTAACTCACAGTACTGCGTCCGTGGATCACATTGTAATTGACCGCCAGGTCCACACGGAATTGGACTTAACTGGCCAGTGGCGGCAGTGTCACTTTCCTCGGCATATGTGGTTAGTATATCCGGTGTGATCAGAAACCATAATAATAAAAGACGCCAAAGACGCCCCCCAGAAATACCCGTTCGCCTCAACATTTTCTCTATTTCTCCGAATTGTTGAATCATAGACCGACTGCTTCGGAATGAAGTACTTTTTCTTTTGTAAGCAATTTTACATCTTGGCGTAATGGGAAATTTCCTGAATCATCAATTAATAAAGCATATTCTGAGCTATGACTAAGGGAATCCCCAGATGGTGCATATAGGTGAGGGAAATCCCTCCATGAATATAGGTCAACATGACGTCATCGTCATCCCCTAGATTCCAATATGGCGGGTGTAAACAGGCACTGGCCGTTGCAAGAACCCTGATAAAAGTTTGTAATTACAGGCAGCTGGTATATTAATATGAGTTTCAAAAGACAGGTTGTTCCTCCTATAGGTTCACCTAAACATACTTCTGCGCATTCAACACCAGATGAACGCGATGTAGGGGTTGCAAAAAGAAAAATAGACGGTGCCTCGAGGTAAACTAAACGATTTTGCAAATAAGACAAGAGTAGATGTGCACAAATCCTTATACCGTTCTTAAACTTTCTAAAATCCAACTATATTTTTCAGTCGTGCAACGTCTGACAAACTCAGTTGTCTCAGCACTTAGATATATACAGTAGTTTGAGCTATGATACACCTCTACGTGCAATAGATGTAACTGGGGATTTCCCATTATGGGGCCGTAGCGATAGTCCGAAGGTTCAATAGTCCGAAGGTTCATTGGTCCGAATGTTCACTATAGAACCTTCAGACCAATGAACCCTTGATTAAAAAGTCGATGAAAACGTTACCACTTTTCGGACCAATGAACCTTCGGACCAATGAACCTTCGGACTATCGTGACGCCCCCCCCCCCCCCCTTCCCCATTATATCAAACATAAGTTGGCACTTCAAGCAGTATATAACAAACTGTGTCACTGTCAGTGTCCCGTGATAATTTGCCAGACAAAAACCTTGCCAGCATGTTACTATACATATTTGGAAACCAACGATGTGGGAATTTTTATGTTTTGGATTTTTACCACCCATGATATAATGGGCACTTTGTCACTGGAGACTTGTACATTGTGGCAGTACTTATTGCAGTACGTGTAATGAATGTATGACCCTATTCCCACAGATTTTAGATTGATCTATCCCTGTGGGGAATCTCATTAGATTACTGTCAGCTTAGCTGGCTTAAATGTCTGTCCCGCCTACTAAAAGCTGTAAGGGGGATAATTAACTACCGTGCGTGCTCAGCTGACAGCAATTTAGCGTGAACCCGCAGGGAGTTAGGTCGATCTAGATGGATTGATTTAAATCTATGGGAATGCAGTCTATGTGAACAGTTTCTTCAAGCACATGTGTCTATTCTTGATTTAAGCATCATTTACAAGGTATTTTCTCATGACACAGCAGTCCCATGTGCTTGTGGTACTTTGTGTGCCAGGTGACTCCATCAACATTTGGAGGTTGTCTTATTATAAATTGAAAGTATGAGTAAAAGTCATGTACTGCTTTGTTTGTTGTACTTAAATGATGCAAGATTGTTTAAACCATTCAAACTTTAAATCAAACTTCCCAGCACATACCTGTAGTCTGAAAATTTACCTTTTTGATATTCAATCTTGTAGTATAAATATGAGGGGGGATTTGAAGAGTCATACAGAAAAGCACCCCTGTACACTGCTTATCCTTATGTTGTCAAGTAAAAGGGGGTTATATTGCATCTTATCATATCAGTTGGAAATACCACATTCATGGCTTTGTTTAGTAACAGTCTTCATGTTCACAATATATGCTATTCATGATTTATTCAATATAATATTCCAGTGTAAATGTTGGTTTTATTACAAAAGTTAAATGCCAATAGGAATTATGATAAGTCTTTTATTGAAAAAAAGACATCAGTATTTCACTGAGTCATGAATCAGATATGCAGTTGGACATCAAACTTTACTTTGTTAATCCTAAAAACTGATATTAGTAATATTTGGGGTTGACATTGGTGATATTTTACTTTTTTTTTTTTTTTTTTTTTTTGATGATATGAAGAAAATGTATTGTTGTATCGTGAATACACATTTTGTGTTCCCAGTTAAGTTTTTTTTTCTTTAATTTCTTTCTTTTTGTATGTTTATCATTTTACTTTTACCAGAGGAGGCAGGACTAAAAGGAAAATAGATTATTTCTATTAGAATCTCATCTGTATCATATTATAATCTACTTTCTGATTACTTTTTTAAAGACAAAGAACCAATATAAAACGGGCCAGTAGTGGCAGTAAACCCAACCCAAGGGTGGCACCAAAAAAGACTGGAAGTGGGGATGGGAAACCAGCAAGTCTAGGAAGTAAACCAGGAAGTGGGCGTGGCACCAGACCCCCAGATACACACACAGAGGAAGAGTCCCCAGGGGAACAGGACATCAAGTTCTTTAACATTCCCAGCAAATGGGAGAAGGCAGAGATATCTGACACCCCCAAAGAGACCCAAAGAAAATTAAGAGACATCAGTCCAGAGGAAATAGTGAGTTGTGATTTCAGAAGACTATGGGGGAGGGGGGCTTTTATTATGCTATGTGGTTATTTTAGTTAATTGGAAGTGCATGAAGTTGATTTGACATGAAAAATAGAAACTTTTTATCTAAAGTTTGTGTATATAAAAGGCTGTGTCAAAAAGTCAAACAACAATCAATAACACTTCAATCAAATTTGGGGAATTTTACAACACAAAAATCAATTAACCCTAAAGGTTTTTAGATTTTTGCATAATGCACCTGTGCAAATTCCCTTTATGTAGTACAATGTCAATTTTGCTTGTGAAACTCGAATTCTTCTACATCATGACTATTTTTAGCCGGGAATACCCTTCATGTCAGTTTCGAACACACAGACGAAACTCTCTCACTATATCTCTGTTATACCCATATTGTTAACTACTAGCATTATAAAGATGAAATGCTCAGGACATTATCTTGTCTACATATAAAACAAATATAGAAAATGAATTAATATTTTGATCCTAGGATTAAAGTTATTGTTCACCAATATTTTGGTATCTGTCAAGAATCCTTTTAAGAATGAGGTTACATAAAACGGATAAATGTAATGGACTATAAATTTTATTTAAAGGATTTGCATCATGCCGTCAGAATGGCCTGAACGGAACATATTCTTCAGAAAACATGCCCAACTAACGATATCTTTATCCAAATACACAAATTAAAAGCTCATTTTGTAAATTTTTGGCTTTAAAAAACGTCCTATTTGCTCGGCCTGGGAGTTAATGAGCTATGTGGTCACGTGGTCCGATGACGACAATTGAGCCACTGGAGAACAGAGCGTGCTTAGCTGTCAAACTGAGCTGCATTGTCTACCTGTAAGATGACTTCTCTGGCTTCTGATAAAAGTTTATACTCATTCAAATCTCTTACCCGAGGGGTCTAAATCCTCGTGAAGCTGTGTAAAACCATTTCCCGTCTAGTCATTTCTTTAACAAGCATTTCATTATGGTTATCCCAAGTTGTATAAAACACTGCATTTGAATGAGTTAAGGGAAATGTTGATTATTGCATATGAGGTCCATGTTATTTGTGAAATTCAATTTATTTTATTAAACCGCTGACACTCCGTCTTGCATACTTTTATTAAACTGAGGTAAACAATGCCCGTTACCTTTACAAGTCCTATCTTAATCATCCATCTAACTGGAACTTCCTTTACCTCTTAATTAGAGGGTTAAATGGCATTCAATTTGTCTTGCTTGTATCGAACGCACTCTCTATCTAAGCTTTACTCCAGTTATCTCAGGTAAAAATCTACCTGTGCGTTAGTTACAAAGCGCAGCTCCCGTAGACCTGGGGGTACTAGATAAAATCTGAACACCAGGTTTATCGAGGAGCTAGAGAAAGAAAGGAAGAATTTTTCCTGCACAACTTCATAGGAATTTTAACACGGACTTGATCCAGCTTAGACCTCCAAACTAACAGGGTGACATGGGCAATTTTCACAAACAAATCATAAAACTATATTTCAGTTAACCGCCTTTAAAATAAATATACCGTTCTGGGTAAATTAAAATAGTTATTAAATCGCAAGAATATTTTTGACTTAAATGATGATTTTATTATTAATGGAAATTAAGCTACTATATGAGGTACATTTGCTGTGATTACGCTGTCCTTCATGTTTTGCGTAAGTCTACATTTTGCTGTATGTGCTTGTAATCTTTTTAAATATGTGCGTACAATTTTTGCAGGTCTGGTTAGCCCCCCTGTTATGTGATGAGAGTATAAATTTGGCAATTAGTTCCTTAGCTTATTTAAATAGAATTGCAGTATAAAATTTTCAACAAGATGTTGGCGAAATAGCCCATTACTCTTTGTAGGTATTTCCCCCGTCAAAGTTTGTCTAAAATTATCTTTCGATCTTTACTCTTTCAAAGACAGTATAAAGTTACCTGACACATTTTCGTGTAAACTTAATGACAAGCCAAGTGTCTCCAGTTCATTCCGTACTCAATTTTACCCAAGCAAATTTTTTTCTTGAGTAGATCTTTATAGCACGGTGTTATAAGCTTACAAATTTGCAAAAAAAAAAAAAAAAATTGTGTACTAACGCAGAATTTGCGTTTCAAGTTATAAAATAATCAATCTTTTAAATTATTTAATATTTCAGATGAAATTATCTTCAGAAACAAATCCTCAAAGCATAAACGAATTAGGATAACGAACCATTTCATTACAGCAGTTCCCATTTTTTCTTTAATATAACGCTCTTTTTCCTATTTTTCCTCAACACGTTTTCTTCCACGGAAGCTTCAAGATACCCTGAGAGCAATTTCTTTTATTAATGTTCGCGACCGTGTTTGAACTTAATTGTTTAAGTATTGATATTTAACGTCATTTACAAATACCAATAAAATAACCCCATGAAATAAATGAGATATATTGAAAAATATGAAAGCCCACCAAGACGAGTTTCATACCTGTTATTACCTGGCTTGGGAATTGCAGCGGTGCATAATTAACAGGTTTTATTGTTAACGAGCTCTTGGTCAACTACAATGAATTTAAAAATGCAGCAATTAGTAAGCTTGCCAACTGATGACAGTATCTAAAAGACTATCAGCTTTTGATATGATCTAAATCACCTGAGGTGACCGAGATCGCGAGGATCGCAACTATTGTCACCAATGTTAGTAAGTTAGTCACGGAAGACCGTCACAGATAAAGAAAGATAGTCAAGGAGTGCTGCAATTTGGGGAATCCCACGGCAACACACTGAGGCATAAAGAAAATTGCTCAACTCCGTTCAACACAACTTTCCAAAATTATTCTGTCTGTTTGCACCATGCAGCTCAGTTGAGTCTCATAGACCTTTATCCCAATTGTCGTCACAGTACCGCCTGACCCAGATCTTTTGCTTCATTTTAATATGCATATTGAGGTGAGGTTTACTAAAACGCTTTTTTACTACTAATAGATTGTTTTTATAATTTTTAAATGGCGGGGATCGATTAAAACATACCTCTAGTGTATAGATTGAGTGCTGAATCTTCAAAATTCGAGAAATGGATTTTTATATGACCATTGTCCTTTAAGATGTTTATTAAGAAACTATATCTAGTTAAAAAAGTGTGTAACACAACTGAAGAAATTTTCTACTGGATTTATCTCTGTAGCTTGCCCAGAGCCAAGAGAATGACCCTGGTCATGTATATGAAATACTGCTTCATGCTGCCAGGATTGGAAAAATACAAGGACTGGAAACAGTAAGCATTTCCACAACTTTCAGAATGATATAAAAAATTCTCTTATAAAATGTTCATAAATTTATTAGTACATTTGCTTGATGAACATTGATTAATAATAATAATAATAATAATAATAATAATAATAATAAATTATTATTATTATTATTATTATTATTATAGAGCTCATAGTAACAAAATGATATTTTGCAAAGAATTTAGTGAGAATAAAACTTTTTTTAAATATACATTTTAAAAAATATGATTTTTAATGCAAATTTTCCTAAAGCAGTAAAAACAAACTTATTAACGAAATTGGGCATTTTTTTTATGTGATGCTGGAGACTGCTCATTCATAAGTGGATTAATTCTGCCTTGGCATGTGTCACAGAAATGCCAGATACAGCATCAAACTGTCTTCTGCCAATATATGTATTATGGTTTTTTTTCTTATTTTAGTTCACAAAAGTGAGGGTACTAGATCTCTCTTGTAACTTTATACAAGATATAGAAAACTTAGATAAAAACCAGGTAAGTTATGTGTCTTTAAATGACTCAATTTTGTTTTATTTTAATTGATAACTGAATTGAAAAATATTTATTAATTAGAAATAATCAAAATTATACTCAAAAGATATATGTAGTGCAAGTGTTCACTTTGTGTCTATGCAATTACTAATTTTAATTATCAAAAATTGCCCTGTGGGATTGGATTCAATAAAATCAATTTTTATCTTGCATGCAGTAACCTTTTAAAGCTTTGTATGGTGTTGGCAAATATAAGATTAGATATGGAAAAATATATAAATATTATTCTTAATTTTTTTTATATTTTTAATCAATAGGACTTGAGGGAATTAAAACTCTATGACAACTATATCACTGAAATTAAAAATTTGGAAAGGTAAGATACACATGTTTACAGTCCAAAGAACATTTTTGTTATTCCTTTTTGTCATCTGTATGAAGTCATGTATTACATTATGAAATCCACTATACATATGTTAATAAGTGCAAAGCAGTTGTTTTTCAGCAGTAGTCTCTCTTTAAAATAGTAAAAAGAATGCCTTAAAGTTGATGGTTTTGGTATTGATAGATACATGTATTTCCTCATATTATTTGGCACCTTATATATAGAGTGATGTGGTGAATAAGTCCTATGTTATCTGTGGAATTTCCTTGCATTGAAGACAAAAGGAAACTTTGGGACTTTTCAGTGAAAAAATAGCCAAGCTTTTTTGTTATCTGGAGAGTGTATGTCACAAGAAACACCCTTTTGTACAATCAAAGCATTGAAATACCCGTTTTAAACCTGGGAAATTTTAATCATGTTCATTTCTGTTTTAGCTTGAAGGAACTTAGTCATCTGCAGCTGCAGCATAATAAACTGAAAAGTATAGGTACTGTTAATTCAGGTTTACCCAAACAGATATTCTTGACAACAAGTTATATAAATAGATCTTATAAGATTAGGATATAAACATACCAAACAGCATTTGTACAGGTAAAAAGCCCCTATCTTGTGAGAAGACAGTAGTAGCGTCAGAAAAAACTGTCATGTAATTTTTCAATTAAAGGTACAACAAAAAGTGTTATTTTTATCTTAAGTTGTTTTTTTTTCTGATTTGTATATATATACTTGAATTTAAGATGTTAATATCCTTTTAAATTTTCAACATATTAATGTTGAATGATTTGATATATGCAGGTAAAGGATTAAGTTGTCAGAAAAAGTTGAAGATCCTTCGTCTTGACAGTAACAAGCTAAGTAAGCTAGACAGCAGAGAGCTGGCCCCCCTCTCCCAGCTGACCAGTTTGGACATTAGTGGCAATGGCTTGGACAGTCTGGCGGTAAGGGTGTGTGTGTGTGTGTGCGCACGCGCATGTGTGTGTGTACATGGGTGCATGCATGTGACAATAGTGGCTTATATAATAAAATGTTATGAATTAAAGATAACACAAGGAATTTTGTGTATGAGTAAGATACGATTTATTTGTATTTGCAGTCAAAAACTGGTCCTGCATGTAACATGAAAAAGAATATGATTGCTCTTGTGCTCTCATTTTATTATGGCATTAAATCAGCCACCTTCTGAGGGAAACTTAAAAGCAACAGCAAGTATACAGTTCATTTACAGTTGACATTTGTATTTTACTAACATTTCATTAATTTTCCAGGCCTTAAATTGTTTGCCAAACTTAGAGGAATTATTTGCAACCAACAATAAGCTGAGAACAGTGACAGATCTGGGAAGGTGTAAAAAGGTAAGTATGGTACTCAGTACATTAATCCTAAATAGAAAACCCGAATAATATGAACAGTTAAAGTCATTAAAATGCATCTGACAGCATTCAAATAAGAAAATGTCTTATTTCCAAACAGATCAAATAAATTTTTAGCTGCTTTTACTTCAGCTTCAAGAAATTGATCTTTCTTCCAATCAGCTGACAGATGTCTCTGGCTTGAGAGGACTCGCACAGCTAAATGTAAGTCAGATGTTTATATCCCACTTACACTCTATTTCACTTTGATTTTGGTATCTAAATGAATGGGGGTTAGCAGTAGAAGAGTGTTTTGCCTCCCAGTACAATTTTAGCATACCTGAAAGGCTGAGAGACCCAATCCACCCCTTCTCTGTAAATTTAGAATTTTAGAATCGTGGTAATGCTAAATGTGTAATGCAAGGTGTATTGTTTTTTCAGACACTCCACTTAACCAAGAACCAGTTTGCCACCCTGAAATCTCTGGGAAAGTCAAAGTAAGAATTCACAATAAATAATGTAGTGGTAGCATATAGTTTTCTTTTGATTCAGATTTTGCTTCATACATAAATATGTTCAATATCATAAATTCTCAATATCAATATATTTCAATAAATATGAAATGAAGATTATTATAAATTAANCACTGAAATCTCTGGGGAAGTCAAAGTAAGAATTCACAATAAATAATGTAGTGGTAGCATATAGTTTTCTTTTGATTCAGATTTTGCTTCATACATAAATATTTTCAATATCATATATTCTCAATATCAATATATTTCAATAAATATGAAATGAAGATTATTATAAATTAAGTCATATATTTTATTGTGGTTGCATAAAAACACTGACCCAAAGGTGCTTTAAGATTTCATTGAAATCACTTATGAAATACTGGGTACATGCACATGTACTGAGTACGAGCACATTTGTGATATAGCACATGGTTATCCAATTTACTTGAGCAAAGGAATATTTCCAACTGTGGAATGGATTTTTCAGGTCACTCCATGAATTGGTTGTATCCAACAACAGGCTCACAGAGTTGCAGTCTCTGGTAGAACAGTTTCCAGGTCTGGAACACCTCAATGTCTGTGATAACCATATAGAGCAATGGGAACAAGTGGTAGGTGCATGTGTACAGTGGGTGAAGGATTTATTTTTGGTTGGATTTAGGGGTTGGAGAGAGAGAGAGAGAGAGAGAGAGAGAGAGAGAGAGAGAGAGATGGAGATTAATTTCCTGACTGTACATCTTTTTCACTGAATTTGAAATATGAAATGCTGTATTTTATTTCCAATATGCTCTAAGTGTAATGAAAGCACATTATCATGTATATTTAATTATATATATTCAGAGGTAAGAATTTCTTTCAAGGTCTCTCTGCAGAAACTTCAGAATATAATGGAGGTGTTTTTGCAACGGAATCCATTCTGCTCCCCTCGTGGCCCCAAGCCCCACTATAGTGCAGAGTTACAGAGGCTCATGCCTGCCCTGGAGATTATTGATGGGGTAAGTTAATTGGGATCTTTTCCAAATATTGGCCTCCATTTCATTTGTTCTAGCTACTTTTTGATACTTATATAGCAGTATGTTAAAGATGATATGTTATTTTATTTTATTTTTTTTTAAATATAAGCCAGCACACAAAATATACATTGATTTAATGTACCAGGAAATTATGTGGACATAAGACCTGAAAACAGTGAGGATCAGTGCTATATGATGCACAAAATGTGTGTTTATGCACAGCAAATGTTGGCAACTCAATGAATATAATGAAATATCCTATAGATGAACAGCCTTATTTTGTGTAGTGGATAAGATGTGTGTACGGGGCTGTAAAACTTCCTTTATCTGTATTTTCAGGCACACGTGAAGCGTTCTACATCCACAACTGCTCCTGTCATGAGACCCATGTCAGCAGCCAGTGGTAATACATGTAACAATTTACTTCCAATCTCTCCCACTCTCTCCCTCTCTCAGTGAATTTCTCTCTACTCTAAGTCTGAATACTTTTTCTTGGTAGGAAAGTTTTAACATTTGAGTATTTAAGTATGCCTTTTCAACATTTCAGCTGAATTTCTATCTCTACTCCAAGTGTGAAAATTTTGTTTTTCAGGGGAGGGGGATTGTTTGTCTTAAATTGGATGTATTTTAGCTAGGTTTTCAACAATTTCCTCATTTCCAAAAGAAAAGCACTTTATTCCTTTTGGATTAAAAAGTACTCCTTTTATAAGAACATTTTTATTTGGGTAATCCATTGGTCTAGAGATTATCAAATCTTTTAAACTGTTAAGACAATTATACATTTGCATCTTTTTTTAGTAATCAGCACAAGACAAGTTGATGCCCAAATGTCCTCCTTGTTAAATGAAATGTCCACTTTTGAAAACAATGTCATGCAGTCGTAAGTCTCTTTAATTCTGATAATATAAATTATTCTATAAATTAGTTTTTTATTCTCAGTAAAAGTAAAGTCACACCGAGTCACACTTGATACCTTGCTACATGTAAATACTCCTTTAAAGTTGACAAGTAAATACATAAACTAACAAATGAGACAATTATATCATTTTATGTTCATAATTTCCATTTAGGTTCAAATCGCTGCGGGCCACATTTGATACCCTTCCTGTGGAGCCTCCAAAAACCAGCCGTCTTGCCACAGTGCGGAGTTTGCCGTCCACTGCAGGAAGTGACCGTCCAGCCAGCAAGTCAAGCAGGTAATAGGCATATATGACCTTGGACAATGTGTTGTCTTTTATGTAGTACAATTTTAAAGTCCTCAGCACTTTCTACCAAGTGAATAAAAAGTGATGTCAGTATAGCACTACAGAAGTCAATATAATACAAAATCTGTTGACTTTACTCTGAGAAAACTTGCAGATCTTCAGATACACACAAACAGAGTTGATCTGACAATGCAATGTTGTCTTTCAGGCGTTCCAGAATTACAGAAGCTAGGAACTTTGCAGCCCAACATTTCTAACTTCTTTACGAAAAGATTGCTTTTTTTCTAGTTACTGTTGCAATTGCCTTTTTTTTTTTATAACATTCAGATAATTTCTGGAAAACTTGCAATATGTAAAAACAACAAATAGTGTTGTAGACATGTTGAAAAAAAATATTGTTCTTGAATTGGCCAGTGTGCATTCAGCAGAAGTATACTTTAAAGACATCTTTTAAGAAAAGTGTTTATTTATCTTTTTTTTTTTAATGTGGAGATTCCTCTCTTAATAATTCCGAGCTAGCATCATTTTTTTTTCTGAATTTGCGTACCATTAGCTGTAAGGCAATACATTAATGTAAATGGTCTCATTTCAAAGAAAGAACATAAGTATTTTTATAGCTGACAGTTTAAAGTGAGTCCTTTTCTCGTGTAGTGTATATATATGCAGCTATGTGTAATAATATAGTTTATATTTGAAATAAATGTTCACTTTCTAACAGTTTTTATGCAGATCTTTTAAATACATCCAACACTGAAAAAAGGTGACATTTTCCTTCGTGTAAATGTTGAAAAATTTCCTGCCTGTGTTTTGATACAAAACTTCCAAGAAATAGAAATTAAATTTGAAGACCAGTGTTTCTCCATTCCTTTCCATTCAAATGATCTGACTACTCAATAAATAAAAACAAGCAATTCATTAATTTTTTATTACTGAAATGCATTTTCCTATAAAATGTATATTAAACAAGTAAATTGCACCAGAGGAAGAAGAGAAAAGAGAAATGCCCTACCCAAGGTACATTACAGCACAGAATTGCCTTCCTTTATGTACTGAACAATACATTTCAATATTATTAATACTAAGAATGATTAACACACAAAAAATTAACTTTCCATACTGTCCTGTCCTTTTAATTACAAAAGGGACACCCTTAATACTAGTTTATATCATAAACTGCTATTTAATAATGGCATAAGTACATGTATTACTATCTCATATAACTTTTTCTTCATTAAAATTCTTTTCTTGGGATATTCTTACCAATTTTTCTATGCAACAACATCAAAATAATTGATAGAGTTGGTGGTCATCTTTTGATTTGTTTTTTTTTTTTTTTTTTTTTTAATTTTTACAATGAGCAGGAGTTATATAATTATGCAAACATGTTTGCCTGTGTGTGGACGATTTACTTATATAATTGACTTCAATTTAAAAAAAAATATATTAAAAAAACTATTTTGGCACCTGAAGAATGCACCTTAACAATGTGCTTTTCAGTGAAATGTTATTTCAAATAACTTGAACTTTCAGTTTTTGAACCCACTTTATATATGAGTATGAACTAAGTAACACTTTTCTCTTACAAATACTTTTATAAAACAAAACATTTGCATGGGAACATCTGTATTAAATGTTTAACAACATCATCTATATTATATAATTCTTCAATACTGCACCAGGTATCATTTCTTTCCTATGTATTCAGTGATGTAACAGCTTTTCAAATGCATCAAATATTTCGTATCACAAACAAAGCACCCTTCCTGACTGCAAATCAAATTATAAAACCCCCAGAAAAGTGCAAAATTCAATAAACACACAAAATGCAAAAAAAAAAATGTGGATATCACAGTAAAGCCCATCAAAATAACTCTAATCAAACCGTTTTATGCATGTGCTCCAAATAAAAAATATTAACTATATTTAATGACTATGTTATGGATGAAAAAGTATCACATATATCCACCCACTGACGATAATGAAATTCATAACCCTGTGTAATATATAGCTGAAGGACTATGCAAAGCTACTTCACAAACTTCTTAATAACCTCTAACTAATGTCTCTTATAGCCTACAGGTACATGTATATCAAAATGACTCTGGGAAACTTTGTAAAACAGCTATGGCAACAACTTGTAAAATAATCTTAAGGGTCCCTGTTAAAACCAGCTCTTTGTAAAGTATCACCTATGAACTACTTGTATCTTTTTTGTGTAGAAAAATAACAAAAAATGGTCAATTTCTTAAACTTTCATTCTGTTTCATTTCAGATAAAAAAATAATTTAGATAAAAATATTTTCATATGACCACAGCTAAACCACAAACCACACAAACTCATATGTTTGAGCATTTTTGTCTAAAGATTTTCACTCCAGGGCAAGCTTTACAGAAAAAAAAAACAACTTTAGACTTAAAAATCAAGAAATTAAGTTTACTTTGACTCAAGACATGTCATAGTTCTGTAGTAGTCCACTTTATCAAATATTTTTTCTCTTTTGTAAAAAGAAGTGCATAATGTTTAAGTAAACTGAATGACATGTCTTCTGGGGCAGCTACAGAGGCTTAACTTCCATGTACCTTCGGTCATGCTCAAAATGAAATGAAAAAGCTTCCAGATTCCAAGCGCGAGCGAAAGTTATTCAATCCCCAGCTTCTTGGGGAGGTGTGTCCCCACAAGTAGGACCGATAAGTTTCACTGGGAACTTGCCCTAGGACAATAATTACTACCACAGTAGTACTTTACATTTGAAGACTGCCCAGTTCTATTAATTTATCCTGAAATAAAGTAAACCATAGTTCAGATCAACTTTTTAGTTTTGACTTCTATTGAGAAACTTGCCCTTGGTTTAAAATGCTGGCTAAGCATTAGAGGGAGTCCAAAATAGCTGGAAACAATACAAGCTTAATTGTGGGGAGACAGCACACCTCTTGTATAGTCACTCCATCTCTGAGCTGTTGTAGCAAATATAGGATCACTTTCTACGGAAGACAACACCAGAAGTTGTACAATATGTGTTGTGTGGTAATCCCAGCGAGCTCTGTTGGGTGGTAACTTCATGGTAACATGGCGCAAATCATAAGTTGTTCCAGATCCTGTGTCAAAGAGCGGCAATAAGGCCTTTAGGGACGTCAACCCTTGAGAATAAAGACGCTGTACATCTTTGTTGTCCGATAATACAGTTCTCAAATCGTAAAGTCCCATCAGTGAAAATATAAATCCATTGAGAACAAAAAGACTTGGTGTGGTGGGATATTCCTCATACCAGGCATATTTATCCATAAAAAGTGCCAAGACGCCATTATTTGCACTTTTCACATCAAACGGTTTCAGACCTCTGACTGCAGCCTCCAAGTATTTTTTCTCCTTGGAATGGAGATAAGCACGTGTCAACACGGACATGGCGTGCCCCTGGGCCATGGCAGAGTACCACCCTGGAGACAAAGCTTGGGCTTCCTTAGCAACCCAGTGAGTTACCATATTTGGCCAGCCGCCATTTTGATCCTGTGCTCTCAACAGCCAATCAGCTGCATGATAAAACTGTGTCAAATGTGCTGAGCTGGAAGTGGTTATATTATTAATCCATCCATGTCCTCGAAGGTGAATACCTACAATTTTGGACACCCTTTTGTTTACTTTTTTTTTCCCCAGCCCCTTCTCAATGTCGATGAAGATATCACGCGTGATGGTTCGCCATGTTCTGCACTTGTCTGAACCTATCCCATAATACACCTGCTCCCCAGAGACTGAGATCATTACATCACTGCAGACATATGTCACAAAAAGCTTTCTCTTGACACGCTTTTGATTGGTCTCAACAACAACAGTCAGGCTTCCACTTTGTTTAAATCTTAAATCGAAGGACAAAATGAAGTTTTCTTTTTCATTAACTGAGAATACAATTCCTGGTTTGGCAAAAGATTCTGAAAATCAACAAAAATGCCCAAATTATATTCAAATTATGGATGACACACCTACAAGTAGTACATATGCAATACACTCAAAAATACTGCTTATTCACAGATACTGGCTAATATATATATATATATATATATATATATATATCCATGCCTTAGCACATTAATAGATAACCAAGTTAAACTCTGTACACTCTGGATAAAGGTAATAAAAGTACTGCAAACTTTTTTTCTCCAACAGCAGTGTTTACCACACTTACCCACCCCACAGTCACAGCACAAACCTCACAGCATTTTGATAACTTTCATCCGGTGTTTACTAAATCTAACCATTTTATTTACTTCCATCTAATTTACATCTTCAAAGGTCTACATCACAGCACCTGACTTCTTCTTACCTTCTGCAGAAAACTCAATCACATATCCACCGTGCAGGGGGTCCAGAACTCTGGTCAGTGTGTCCCCCCTGTTGACCGCCCATCGCTTCTTCTTAATGACCCCCAGGCTGAGAAGTACGGTCTTCCTTGGCTCTACCTGCTCCACCAGAAGCTTTGAGTAGTGGCTGAGGCCATATTGAGCAATCTGCAGTGGGTAGTAGTAGCCGCTGACATTCCACTGGTTACAGACAGGAACATCTGGATTAACATAATCATCAACTGGATAATCCCATAAATCTAACTTATAATATCAAGTTAAATAGTTTAATCAAATGTAGCAATATCACATAAAATTATGTCCAGGTTTTGGCAACATGGGAGAGATGACCACGTTTTTCAATGTTCTTTTTGGCCAAAATATTCAGTTTTCCAAATTTCAATATAAAAGGACCAAATCTGCAAAAAAAAAAAAAAAACTGTTCCCTGAAGCAAACATTAAAGTCATAGTGGAAATATGAAATTGGATGATGTTTTATCAAGGTATTACGTCCTTTTTCAAAAATTTAATTCACATTTAACAATAACCTCACAATCAGATAATCTGATTTTAGATACTGACTTAGGCTACTTATATATTGATAGACTTGTAATGTCAATCTGTATATATATATAATCTGTATATATATATATATATTGTTATATGTGGTGGATATTTACAATGTATGTGGAACAAAAACCCAGTTAATGCATTTGCAGCATACATACATACAATTAGTGCATTCTAAACTAGTCATTTTACAACTTACGTTCTATGCCGCTAATACACTTGACTGTGTCTCGGTTCTCTACAAAATAATGGTCAAAATGCATGTACACCCCTCCTGTAGTATAGTTCTCCCTGGGTTTGGAGATCTTGGAGTAACTGTGAAGCCATTGCAGCCTCCCACCTTCCTCTTCCTTCTCCAACTTGCCTGTGATCTGACAGAGAAAGAGACAGGAAATAACACATTATCTTTGTTTTTCCAATTTTTATTTCTGTACATTGAACTTTAATCAAGATGTTTTTTTTAAGGGAATTAATATAGTTGAGATTGAGTTGTCTTTAGCATTTATAGTGAAACCTGACAATGATAGCATGCCAGGTACCAG